TTGGTGACATGAGTTCCGTTCTCTCTGATTCAAGAAACGCTGGACAGGTTGAAAAGCACGGTGATGATAGGACGACGCACTGCTGCAGCTGCGGTCCGCCTATGGCGCCCTAACCTTGGAGAGGGTTCGAGGGTTCGAGCGCAGTGCTTCGATCTGCGAGTCGAAGGTTGAGTTGACTACTGTCGACAACACGGTCACGAGAAGAGGCGGCGACTCCCACAGAACGCGGAGGGTCAAAGGAACCGATTCCGTCTTGTTGTTGATGGAGACAGGACGTCGTTAATTCGACGCCAATTTTCCGGGCCAGTAAGGGGACGGTACAAGCGGGCTGTTGGAAAGAATCGGGGGGTCATACTCGGAACGGAAAGCGGCAGCGCAGACAGGAAACTGCCAGTCTGCTGCCCATTTCCAGGAGTGATGTTCTCCTCACGTCGGACACGTGTTGATCGACCATGCCGTAGCCTTCATGGCGACGTTTCCTGATTCTCCGAATCTTTTTCTATCAAAGTTATTCCATCACAGAACGCGCGAACTTTCCGATACTTGATTGGCTCAGTTGCTTAGCTGATAACCTCATTTCTGATGAGATGTGAAACTTATTGACTTTCCCTCGATGTCTGAGTGCATGCAGTGATTCATAAAATGGAACTATCATCGATATTATACATAGCCTTTCGATTTGACTTTGTGATTAGGTCGCTATTTTAGATGCATGATCTGTACATATGATTTTTAATAATAAAGTGTATAATTTGAAATTAAATTGGTAGCGGCTAGTAGAGTGAGGGTTAATTAGCCCTCACTTTACTCTAATTTGCAATCAGGGTGTAAGAACAATGAGAGAATCGAGTATATTAGGGTGAGGGATAACTAACCCTCTCCATACAATTTTCTTTTGACACATAAGTTTGTATGTCTTATTAGTCGACAGTATTGTTACATTTTACAATGGATGCAGTGCTATGTTGCTCTTACATACATGGTATTTTTCCATTCTCTTTATAACACTGGTTCACAAACAATACATGATACCATCTAAAATCCATCATATTTGTCAAGTGTAAATTCAAGATATAATTATACCTTCTGAACGATTTCGTGGTCGTATTCATTTTGAATTTGATAAGTGTATTGCTTGCCAAGTCTGTGTACGTGTATGACCAATTGTAATGTATTTAACCGGTTCCACTGAATCTTCTAATTTCGATCCCAAGGCTACTGATCAACGCAATTGAAGTGTGCAGAGATGTTTTGCAAACCCGCACCGATGTATCAACAATCATGTGTTGCTGACCTTATGTTAACTATGTTTATCAGTTTCAAACTATACTTAACTTCCCAACCTATATAATTCTATTTATCATTTAAATCCTTTGCACTAATATTTTTCTTTGTCTTATTTGAAGACATATTTGTCAACCGTATCAATTCTTCACACAATTACACATTACACACTAAGTTTGTACAAGATGAAAGTCACACTTGCATTTTCTCCACGAGCTATTTAAATGTTTTCCCGACTAATAAGGCCATGACACATTTGCTGCAGAGTCAAGTTTTTTAAAATACATATCAAGATGCAAATTGGTAGTAGATGTTTTATACCAGTCATACAAAATTTAAGTGCTTTTAACTTAACGTATATTTCAGAAATGTGCTAGACACTATAATACTTGTAGGCATGACATAACAATTTTTACCTTAGTAATGACTTTACCGTGTAATGATTTTTTTTTCAATATTTGTTTGTTATATAAAAATCAATAGATAAGCTTACACATCAATATGTGATGTTTTTTTTCCAATTCTCGTGTTATTTGTAAATTTTGGATCGAATGAGAAGATAATGATGAAATCTGACATATCTTCATTTTAATAATATTTTCACAAGAATATTAAGAAAATATTATTATTATTCTAGGATTTGATGAAGTAACTCGTATTGCTTCATTATGGAAATGTTTTTTTAATTGAGATTATGGGACTGTAAGTTCTATTGCCATATTTATCTGAGGGACGTAGTTTTCTACCAAAGGGAGAGGATCTATTGTGTGTTTTTGCATCCAAGCTTTGGTCGAATAAAGTTTTTGCTATTTCTTTAAGCGACCTTTAGAGATAAAGTTACTTATTGTATTAGTTGACATCAAATTAGGGACATTTTTGTTCATCAATGAAATACTATCTTGTTACAATTTTTGAGAGGTTTTATATATTGATAACAATTTTTAAGGTTGCTTTTTTCAAAAATGTTTAGGAACATGAAATTCTTTGTTACTTTAAAATTATTTCTAAAATTTATGTTGCATTTCTTGGTCTTAAAAGAAAAGCAAATTTATTAAATATTATTAGTTGATATAATTTTATTATATTGATATAAATAAAAAATTATGTATAAAAACAGGTTCTATATATTGTTGTATGTACTACATTAAGCAACTAACACTACATTATTTGGACGAGAAACTGTTGTTCTGACACCTTTTGTTTTCGGCAAACTTGTCTGTATTGCATAAAGATATAAAAGTTTGTTTCTTTAATAACGTACTATCTCAAAAAAATACACTTTAGATTCTAAATGCTCGATACAAGTTTTTTCATTTATTAATCCGTCGTCATCACATTTTTTGTATTATTTCCATATATTCATGCTTGTTGGCGTCACAACTTGTAGTTGTTTCAGTATTGTGTGAAATTGATGAATGAACAAGATCAACATATGTTTCAAACAAGTTGACATTTTAGAAATTTTGAATGCTACAACATGCTATCACAGTTTAGTTTGTTAGAGTCATTTTGTCACTTCTTGAGCAAAAATCAATATACATGAAGATGGAAAGTGGTACTTTAGATAATACTTGCATATCTGACGTGAAATATTTCATATCTGAAAGGGATGAAGATACGAAGGGCGTTCCATACACTGTAAAGCAGTCTCCTAGAAATGGAGTTGAAGTTTAAAATAAATGACGACGAACAGCCATAGTTCTAAATTGTGGCATGACTGTTCTTGTTCTGAGCCTTGTATGTAAACAATATTGGAACAGACAGATTGTTGATAATTAATGCACATACTGTACTATGTCTTAATTAAGTTGTCCTGACAGCGGAAGCTATACTATAATAGGGACAATCGGAGCTCCCTGATATGTGGGAGTCGGATGGAACATCCCCCTTGGTCAGATTCGTGCACTTGGAGCGGCGTCCCAACGAAAATGGCCAATATGTCTGAATGGTCGAATCCGAACGTCCACCACTGGACCTGGAGTTCGAAAACATTTACGCTTTTATACAAGTATTTTAATGGAACGCAATATATTTCTCTTGTTTCGAAATAACTGAAGATATATCATAAAGCAAAAGAAGGTGGGAGAGTATCTTCACATCGAGCAAAGTTCTATTCCTACTCCGGAACGGTATCTCCAGCAGGTCCAAATATATGAGACTGAGAGAATGATTGTCAATGGTACATGCTCTGAATTTCATGCAGAGCATGTACCGCGCGACGAAAATGTCGGCGACAGATGAGGAGAGAATGGGGTGGATCGCAAATGTCGAAATGGACAGCAGGTTTCGACGCAGAAGCTGCGAGCGTAGAGCCACTGTCTTGGAACAACTGTATGTTCATTGCCCAGGTATACGAGATTCAGTGACACCGCGCCGTAATATCTGACTCTGACCCGGGATTTTGCCCGATGGACGTGTCTGAGAACGGGGAGCGAGCGAGGGCCTACCACGAATGTACAAATTGGAGGGGAAGCGAGATTTTTCTGGAAGGACAGCGGTTTCGATTGTATCCGCATGCAAAGTTCGTTGATTTGCTTTTTGCTTCGAAGGTTCCTGGCTTAGAATGAAGTCGGGGCTCAAACGTCTCGTCGGCATAGCCGACTGCAAAGGTGCGAGGTGTTTGTTCTCTGTAACGGATGGAATGTTTTGGTTGCGGTACAAACCGGAGCCTCGTGGACGACAAAGATGAACCCCGGAGCGGCTCGATTGAGTGAACTCTGAAGTTCGTTGATGCCACAGTTCTGCGTGGTACAGTGTGTGCCATCATTATGCCTTATAATGGCTGGCCGCTGTTGTTCGGTACAAATGGACCACTGATTAGTTGACCGAATTCCGACTCACGTCACGGCCGGAGCAAGTAATCTGGCGAAAAGTGTGAGATGAATCAGGCTAATAATACAGGGATGTAATTTATTGTGTATCATAAGAAAATACATTAATAGTATGCATACGATAGATATACATTACTATAATATATACATACATATATACAAATACCTTAAATAATTTGTTGATGAAATTTACTATCAATGATTCATTTATGGAGAAAAAGATATATTCACAAGTTTACATATATTATATAAAATATGGATATTTAGTAAGCTTGAATTATACTGGGATTTTTAACGAAAATTTTATGTACATAACATCTCTGCGTGAGTAAATATTAATATACTAACAGTTGTTTCTCTTGGGTGTGTATTACGGGGACGTGATGTACATTTAACGTACATGTGTACAGTACATGGATATCTGACAATTCCTTCTCCTTTTCAACATTTCTCGCTTCTATGCAAGGGAACTTCCGATTCACACAACGAGCTTATTACGAAAGAAGAAGACACGAAATAAAGTACGGTTCTGTAATTCATTTGACTTCCGAACTCTGATTTGGGTGGACATTCAAGTCACCGGACGAGATAGAGATACGGTATGATCATTCTCTATCTGATTCGATGGAGGGACGTACGTCCATCCATCGAAGGGCGTTTCCCGTCACCCCAGAGGGCTGACCGCCGAGGAGGACCGGTACGGCAAGAGAAGAGCAGTTCAGGGGAGGGGGGAGGGTCGTCGTCGTAGGCGGGGGATGACCGACTGACCAACCTGCGGACTGACAAAGTGCGAGGAGATGAACCGGAGAGCGAGAGAAGCCGACCCGTGAACGCCCGTCCGGCGGAGAGGAAGGAAGGACGCCGGGGAGGGGAGGGGAGGGGAGGGGAGGGCAGCGAGGAAGGAGGGCGAAGTGCGTGGGGGAGGCAGACCTGAGGCAGACAGACAGGCGAGAGAGAGAGAGAGAGAGAGGCGCTGGGGCGAAACATGTCAATGCACGAGGAGCCATGGCCTGCCTGTGCTGCGTCCGTGTCGGCACACTTTCACTCCACCAGAATTTCACCGCGCCCTGTGCTCTGGGACCCTCGCCTCCTTATGCCAGTTCTTGGTGCTCGTCCGACGCACTTGCGATGCCCGTCTCGGCCTCTCGGCAAGTTCCACATTCTGCATCAGCAGCTCCTGCTCTAGGTACGTTGCGCCAGAGACCCCGCGTTTAAATTCTTGATTATCTGGTCTCGTGTGCCTACTCTCCTCTCGGCTGGGCGGGCAGCGGAGTAGTTGAGAGAGACAGAGAGGGAGGAGCTCGGCTCTCTAAACAGTGTCAGAGGGGAAGGGAGGGGAGGGGAGGGGAGGCGACAGGGTGATTCGATCGAGAAGAATCCCTGACAGTGATAAGGTTGGAATGGAGTAGGCGCCTGAGTATGGGCAATGCATCGATCCGACGCCCGGCAGGGACAGAGGTAGGAGCGCGGGGAGGAGCGTCTCGGTGGATATTTATCTGTTCCGTGTGCTGAAACTGGATTCATGAGTTTGGTAGATTGGAGAATTGTGCCAGTTGTGGTGTAAGCCTGGCTTGAGGTAGCTGGAATCGTTGAGAGGCGCTTCTGAGTCTGAGAGTGACAGTTAGAGCATGAACTGCGAAATTCACCGGTAAATTGTTGATTCCGAGATTTTCACGCGAGGAGTGAAAACGGTGATCACGTCCTTCCCAATTTGGATTGACGTTGTCGAACACACATTGTGAACTGGCGTGTCTTTCATGTGCTACCGAATTCTTTTTATGCCATATTTCCACGCAATCTTCGCCTCGTGCTCTGAGTTAACGCTGGCAGTGCCCATTGCATATGGTTCATTCCCAGCACTATGACCATCTGTCAAGATTTGCATCCGAAGCAGTCTGTTTGCTAGCATTCCATATTCCAAGTGGTGGGTATATTATTGCTCCGTGCAATTGACTCATTAAGCCGATGAGAAAAGTGATTTTCAGTCAAGGCACCTAGACAGTCTCATCACTATCTGGTGGTACGGGCATGAACAGATCTTGGTGATCTTTGAAAATATCTTTGATGTTCTCTCTTGCTGTGAAAAACTTGTTGCAATCCTCATATAGGCTGGAGAACCACTTGATGTTATCTGGTGGAGGACAGTGCAAGAGTTGATTACTCTCTTTATTTTATCATCATGCCCTTCTTAGAGCCTCCTGGGTCACACATAGGGTCCACTTTCAAGACTTCCACCCTCAATACGAACCATTAACTTTCAAGGTGGACTTGACTAAGAATTTTTGTAGTGTCATGAGATCATTGCTTCTTATTAGATTGCATCTGGCATTTATTTCCTGTTTTATGTGTTCCGCTTCACTTACACTTCCATTGTTTGTTGTGTGGTTTGGAGTTGGTTGGAGAGTCGTGGTAGTGGTTGTTTTTGGCAAAGTCGCATTCGACTTATTTGTTTCTTACTCGATGTTTTCTCTGACAGACGTTGCTGACCTCTCACTGTTACCTTACAATGTTGTCATTGGACCAGCTAACCACTTGCTTCAGGTACCGTTGATACCTCTCTGCTACTAGTTCATTCCATGTGTTCAACTCTTTAGTGACTTATGGGACTTGAAACCTAAGTTCGTCTTTGCTAGCTGAACCCATTGAGGTTTCTTATCCAACTACTTGCTTGCTGGTCATGGTGCCCATGATGAAGACTTTAACCCGCTTTTAGGAATAGGTGGCAGATTTTTGCCCTTAGACTGTGCTACCCGGACACAGGTTCAGGTTTCAGCATTGCTCCATCTTAAAAGGACTTGACTCTGACCAATTTATTCTAAAGATATATTTAGAGTTTCATTTTACATTGGCCAGTACGTGGGATCATGGACTGTCCTCACTTCAAGATCATTCTCTTGTGTTCTCGATATTCTCCTTTGTCTGCTGCCAGGACACCAATTTGATTGTTTGATTTCATCTGTTCACATATAGCATTTCCAGTCTTGCGTGCGAAGCGGGGGAGCTTATCAGGTGTACCTTGTAGTGTATTTTTGTATTTACTCGATTGTTGAAGGATTCCTAATGGCTGATACGTTTTTGTGTTGACTGCAGGTTACCGAGGAGAGACAGTATGTCCAAGAAGTCTCAGCAAAATCTTAAGTGCCGATCCTTTTAATAATTCTAGAACCATCAAAGCTGGACTTAGTAATTGTAAAACATCATCTATAGCCCTTTTAAATACACGTGTTCTTGATTTGCAGCGAACCCATTGTAGTTACAGGTTAGGTTTTAGAAAGAGGAGAACTCATGGTCTCCCAGGATCAAGAAAAAACTATAGCCACCTTCGATGGCGCGGACGTGATTTAAAGCGTGGAGTTTTGTTTAACCAGATGGAAAACCTCGAAGAGAACTCTCAATCCGTTGTCATGAGTCATGTTCCAGGAACTGACAGCGCAAGTAGCGCGTCGTTCATGGATAGGCTCAAGAAACACCCTTTAAGCGGGCTATTCGACGGTATCAGGTAACATGCTGTGTCTCTCCTTCTTTTCAAAGATCTGCGTGAATGAGCATAATGTACATGTCAGCTGGCGTGTTCATGGATACGCAATTAGTCAAGGGGACTTGTCAGTTGAAGTGTATATCTCTCAGTGTTGATAAGGTCAGTTGAAATGTAATCAGGGTAGGACATATTCGTTGTTGCCTTCCTTTCAAGTACGCGTAGGCTTATGTAAATTCTAGCGTGTCAATTGACACATCACTCTGCAGCTTGTTCTGAGACCCATTCAAATAGTTCTAGGATCACCGGTTTAGTCGTGCTGAGTGTCCTCGTGGACACAGAAGCTGACGTAAAGTGGTCTGATGAACATTCACCAGTGATACGTTTCCGAGTAACAGAAATGAAAGTGTTGAGAAGGAGATTGGTGTCCTGGGCTTACCAGCTCTTCTGTCAGAAGCGGCTGAAACTGGGGCACTGCTTTTGGAGACAGCATTCCTAGGATCAATAGGTACCGGTCAACTCGTAGGAGAAGAGTTGTGTGTTAGGCCTCAAAGTGTGATGTGACAGAAAGATTGCGTTATGTTGACCCTCTTATTGCATCTTCCATGTTGTATCAGCAATTCATTCCGCGCAGATGAGCTTGGTAAGGAGATTGCTGTCATTGCTTTACCTGCTCTTTTAGCATTGGCGGCGGACCCCCTTGCCTCCTTGGTGGACACTGCTTTCATCGGGCAAATAGGTATTGCAGAGTTCTTTAGTTATGAGTTCCATAAGGGTCAGAAGATTGTAGATGGGAGAAAGAGTTCTTGATCCCAATATTTTTGGTTATTCCACAGAAATACACATTATTCGACGAGGAACCTTACCTGGTTATGCTATAGTTGTGTTTTCCTAGTTAAACAGTAAACTGGATCTGGACTTCTGCTTCTGAGCATTAGATTCACATCATTTTCCAGATAGTAATCCTGTCAACGTTCCGCACCCCTTATTTATGAATCTCGAAATATTCCTACACTGGTGACCTTGCTTCTCCAGACTAACTTGAACTAGATCGTCCTCTTTTATACGAGATGAATGAGGAGCGTCTGTTCTGATATTGATTGTGTGGGATTGAACAATAGGTCCCGTGGATCTGGCTGCCGTCGGAGTCTCCATTTCAATCTTCAATTTGGTATCGAAGATGTTCAACTTACCTCTTTTGAATATCACAACATCCTTTGTCGCGGAAGATGAAGCATCTGCCAAAGATGGCACTCTAGAGCCACCCACGGAAGAATCGCCATTCCGTTCAACGGGAACGGAGGAGGGTGAGTTGGTGTGATTGGAACTTTAGGGATTTTTCGTTCGTAAAGAGCTTGTCGGCATTGAAATTTTTTTGAGTATGATTTGACGGAATGTTTGGTTGCAGAAATGGAGTTATTGCAGCCACATGAACTTTACATTCCCAAGAGCACGAAGCCCCTTCTTCCTGCAGTGTCATCAGCACTTGTATTGGGAACCGCTCTGGGTGTAATGGAAGCTACGGTGCTGACAGTTGGTGCGGGGCCTATTCTGAGTATGATGGGTGTCGGAGCTGTACGTGAACTTATTGCTTGAATTTACCTTCTTGTGATTGTTTTTGTTTTTCAAACCTGATCACTTGCTCTTCTATTTAAATTCGTGGGGAAGTACATACTGGATGATTTCCAAGTATTGTCTGCTTAAACCTGTTGTTTTCGTTGAAGAAGAAATTAAATCTCCCGGCCTGAGTAGATTGTTGTGGCCTGTGTAGGGTTCGTCCATGCGAACACCAGCTCTCCAGTACCTGGCACTTCGAGCAATTGGAGCTCCAGCGGTAGTAGTTGCCTTAGCAGTACAGGGTGTTTTTCGTGGATTCAAGGATACGAGGACTCCCTTAATTGCCACGGGTAACCTTCTTGAATCCACCTCGGTGATTTGGGTTGTTTCATTTTGAGTTCCTGCTCTTAATTGCTCTTGTTGAAAGCTGATTTACCCCAGTTGTCAGGAGCATGTGATCATTTGGAAATGTAGATGCTTTTATCTATAGTCAAACATAGTGAGAAGTACATCGTACAATGTTTTCTGCAAGTGTCAACGCTCATTTGTGTTCTCTTTGCAGTTCTTGGTAACGTTGTGAATATCATCCTCTGTCCCATCCTCATGTTTTCTTTCAAATTCGGTGTTGGTGGAGCTGCTGTTGCAACCGTTATCTCACAGTGAGTAATCCAGAGCCTGCTTCTACAAGTGATAATTTGTTGCTCATGGTCGTAGTCAGCATAAGTCTGATGTTTTGCAAAGCTTTCAAATTTAGTTTTTGTTTTTTTAACGGCAAGCGAAAAAAATTGCTCAGTTGCCTTACCTGCAGAGTGAGTTTGTCGTAACTTCCTAGGGCTTTTTTGGTCACACTTCTATTTTTTCTCCAAATTTTTACTACGAGATGGGAAAATTCGTGGGGGATGCATTCTATTTGTGGAGACATAGGTGATAGACCTCGTTTGACATTTCATTTCATCTGTGAGTTTGTCTAGTAGCTTGTAAGAAAATATGAAATTAAAAAAATCTGGATTATGATTTAATTGAGGCTCTTGAGGCCGATGCTAGAAGATGTGATTCCGTGCGCAACGTCTTTCATCAGGTACCTCATGGCTCTCATTTTGCTGTGGACTTTGAATTCACGCGTCATGCTTCTTCCACCTAAACTGGGTGACTTGCGGTTTGACAGATTCTTGAAGTCTGGTAAGCGTCCGTCAGCCCTTCTTTGTTTTCCTGGTTCATCTGGAGTCAGGAACAGTTTGCCCTTGGTCTTGTGCCTGTTGAACTCTATTATCTCTCGATGGCCAAGATGGTTACCGTAAAAAATATGAAAAGAAGCGAACCGTCTTCACCTTGTTTCATCTTTTTGTTGACTGAAATGGGGAAAATGTAAACAGTTTCCAGTTTTATTGCAAAGAAATATAGTGGGACCAGCGGACAGGTTCATCTCTATATCAATAGTTTTGTGTAGCACAGGTACCTGACGGTGATCTGTATCCTTTTTTCTGTAGGTACTCTGCTTTTGACTCGTACACTGGCCATCCTTTTAACCATGACTCTTGCAACATCCATGGCTGCTCGACTTGGTCCTATTCCAATGGCTGCGCATCAGATTTGCATGCAAGTCTGGCTTGCTGCATCTTTACTCTCAGACTCATTAGCTCTGGCAGGACAGGTACATAATATTGCAAATTAGCATTACTGTAACTTCCTATTATTCCCATGATCGATTCGAAGATGATTTGCCAAGCCTGACAATATTGTTATGTCCAACTCAGGCTATTATTGCTAGTGCATTCGCGAAAGAGGACTACAGACGAGTTAAGCAGGCATCATTCCGAATTTTGCAGGTAGGTTTACCATGACTGCTGGTCTTTGTGAGCTCTTTCCCTGACGTCCGTTTCAGTATCCGAGATGTCAACTTGTTGTCACACACAAGCGGGCTAGACGTTGCTACTTTGAAGCACATAAGATGTTTGACGTCAGTTAGTTGGAGCGTGCTTTGTACTCCGAGTAATAGGTTTTTGGAAGTTACACCAGTATGTATACTGAACGATATTACATCCATTCTACGTTCTTTATTTCCTTTGGGCAGATGGGTCTCGGTTTCGGAGTCTTCATGGCGTTGCTCCTTGGCGTGGGTTCTGGCTGGTTCACGAAACTTTTCACTAATGACGTTGGGGTCTTGGAGATCATGTCATTTATTTTACCGGTACCTTTTGATGCAGAACCCTAAAACTTAAAGAGATAAATTGATAAATTAGTTTACGTTTCTTCTATGTCAATTTGCAGGCATAATAGTGCTTGCTTGCTAGATTTTTATACAACGTAAGGTGAAACTGAGAATCTGTCTGGGACTTTATTTTGCAGTTTGTTATCCTCACTCAACCCATCAACTCGTTGGCTTTCGTATTCGATGGAATATACTATGGAGTCTCTGATTTCTCCTTTGCTGCCTACTCGATGGTAAGCCCTCTCACGCTGCTTATTGAGGGTTTTTAGTGGCACACGGAGGTCTGTCTGTCATTTCTAAATTTCGTGATGATTTTGTTTGACTTGATTTATGTTTTCGTTTTCAGGTTGTTGTAGCCATTCCGTCATCGATATTCTTGCTATGCTTGCCACCAATGTGGGGCATTGTTGGAGTTTGGACTGGTCTGACAGTGCTCATGATCTTACGAATGTCTGCCGGATTCTTCAGGTAACCTTGGGCTTCTCAACCTTTTCTGTGGTTGGTGATGTAAATTGTGTGCTGGTTGAAGTGAGATTTATTTTTTTTTGCTTATAGAATGGATTCTACCCGAGGCTCCTCTTTCCAGTCCCCTGATTAACGTTAATGAGCCCTACCCCTGCACGAGTGAAGTGTATATGAGACTGCAGCTGAAGTTTCGTGTTTTTTGTTGCAGAATCAGTACAAGTACTGGTCCTTGGAATGCAATCAACAAAGATTACGAAGAGAGACTCATGGGAAACGACATCGAAGATAACATCACAACTTTGTGATGCTCAATGCAGCCACTCAAGCGTATAGTATATTCTTCGATCTTTAGCACTCAGGTATATGTTTTGGTTTTATCTTTGTGACTTTTCTATCAACACTTTTCTACCTTCCCTGGATTTGCTGAGGTTTTTGGGTTTGCCTACCTAGTTTTTCTTCTATTTGTTAACGTTTGGTGAGAGTATTGGGTTGCAAGTTTTTGACATATCATTCGTCTGAATCTTACAGGGTTATCAACACGTGGAGTTCTGATAATCTTGTGTAAGCTTCTAGGACCGGAGATGTGTCTGAAAAGTAGTCTCAAAGTCCACCCGGAAAGGGCCATAGTTGTATATATGAATAAAATTCATTCAATTCCATTTGATGGTCATGTGTTTCTAAGACTAGATTGAAGTTTCCTTCGCTAGCCAGGTGTAGTTTTGAGGTTAGTCAAGCTTATTTTTTTTCAAACTTCTATCTCTAGTTCTGGAACCATTGATGTGCATAATTTATTCATTTAGTTCAGTCAGTGAAGCACTGCCCATGCAATTGTGGAGAAGGAATATGTGTGAAACTTCGCAAGATTTCATTATCTTTCCCACAAATGACGCAAGGAAGAATGCGTACAACGGGTGACTATCTTTCTATTAAAGAGGAGGAAGCTGGTAATTGTCCCGGCATTGTACCACGGGTGAACTTGTGTACACCCGGTCATTATATGGCGGATACCACTATCTGATCAATGAATGGATGGAACTTGACCCACGAAAAACTTCTCAAGTAAGGCAAACACTTGAAGCCTCCTACGTCAACCCTAATCTCACCTTTTCATCTATGAAAGGTTAAATGGATTTCAGGAATTGAGGGTGGGTTGAAATGCCCGTTTTCTCGAGTAAGCGTGAAAGTCGGATTTAGCTCGGTTTGTGTATGGTGTGGAAATTTGGAGCTGCCAAATCGAAATGTTTAAAGTGGTTTCCTGTGGCTTTTCCTCAACCACAATGATGGATTAGATTGCAGAAGTACTGGCATGGTGGAGGGGTGGGGTTTTTAATGTTCATGGGCGTTCAGAAATAGTAGCTGGTTTAACCCTCAGGTTGGGCTTCCGGGCTGCTTGTCTGATGTATACATGACCTCGATGGCCCGCCCATTGAGTTGTGTTTTGATTAAATATAAGCACGCATAAGTATAGCCTCGAAGTTGCGAATTACGTTGGTAAATTAATTGCTGTGAACTTCGATGACATCAAAATCGGTAAAGTCTCTTCCTCGTCCAGTCTGGCCAGTCTGATCCAGCTAAATTGCCATGAAGGAGTTGCCAGTAGTTTCAGGTCGACGTATCTGTCTGTCGACACAGTCTGGAACTTCAGAGAAATTCAATGCGTGCCCATCACAGACCAATCAACGGCCTGCTTTATCTAAAATCTGACGTAACCCGACGATTGGAGTCGGTCTAGTCTTGTTAACTCCTGTTGTTTAGGCTTACAGCAGCCGGTTACGTAGGTTAAAGTCAATGTCCATCACAACCTAAACGCACAGTCCTCCCTGCTCTCGCCAGTCGACACTTATCTCGTTTTCTTTTGGTCTTCATACTTACCTGTCACAAGCTGTCCCCATACTTCTCGTCTATTCCTTGAAGTGAATTTAGTTTTAGAAATAGTCAAAAGACTTCTTTGGTCTGCACTCAGCAAAAAGAACAAAATTAATAATAAGAAAGCGCGATACAACCTTTACCAAGTTTCCGGAACTATTTTTCTTCTCAGCAATCTATAAAATTTATGCAGTCAACCGGCAACCTGAAATTTTATCTCTCAGCATACTTCACAACTGATTTTTTTTTACGTTGTATCAGTTTGCTAGCAGAAAGTGCTGGTTTCTCATCTGCGTAAACCCCATCCCGACGTTATGAAATGAAACTTAATGACTGACTCAAACCAATCATCAACAAAATTTTAGTATTACAAAATCATTTGTGAACAAAAAATATATATGTGACGTTAAATATGAACATTTCAGAACTAGAAACTAAAATGAAATAAATGTTAGACACTTTCGGATCATATGACATTAGGTCATAGGATATTTCTTTCCCAAATTTCCAATTTTTTAGCTTTAATCCACTTTGTAGATTTTAATATATTTTTTGTTTTATCACTTTTGTAAGTTTAGAATAAAAACCTTATATTTTCTAATATTTTTTGATAATTTTTGAAAAATTATATTTGATCATATAAATATACTTTATTACAGCTTGAACATTATGATTTGGATTTTTGTATGAAGGATGTTATTAATCTTGCTAATGTTCTAATGCTCTGGGCAGTGTTTTTTATACGTTTGGAGTTTGTTTATATTGTGTTCTTTTACCCCATTGGCTTGATCTCTTTACCATTTACCAATATGTAATTCTCCATCCATACATCAATGAACCATATAGAATATGGTTGTTTTCATTGTATCTAGGCATGTAGTAAAACATGCCATGTTTAAATTGCGCGTCTATTCCATGTCGTGAACATGCTTCATCGCAGTGTACATTGTTCATGCAATGACATTAAAATGTTAGATCCTTTACTCCACATTGTCATCAAAAGCCATACATTTATACACAAGCTGATGATGATGCAGCTTCAGAGGTGTACAAGATTACACCCTTAATATATACATACATATGTACACACACACGACTTAGGTTATAAATCTCGGTTAAGATGGGGATTCCTTCCAAATGCAAGTTGCAACATGTTGACTTCCAAATACAAATGAACACAAATGATCTTTAGTTGACAAAAAGTGCTCCGAGCATCCAGGAGATCTTCAGAACTTCATTAGCTAGATTTAGATTGATTTACATCAACAAACGCAACACATATCTGAGTTACCTCGACATCTTACGAACATGAGCTGGTAGCAAAAGGTTTTACATTGTGAATGTGTTAGGGTAAAATCTTGGACGGCATTTACTCTGTGCCACGTCTTCGAATCTACACAATCACAGCGAAATCCACGCCATAGACCATTTCACAATATGCCATGTCACTATCAAGTGCTAAAAGCCAATTATCTAAAGAAAATTGAACTCGATAAATCTTGAGTCCGAAATAGATTCCATTCCATTTAGAAATTTCAAGCCATAACAACGAAGTATTGTGGACTCGCGTTTCATGTTTGAAAATGGTTATGGGTGCCAAGATAAATTAACTCGAGATTGCTTTAATTGTATATATATATACACACACACAATTAATTTCTATATACTCTCTTCCCATCCCAAACAAAGGTAAGCAGCAGTGGAAGTTGGGCAGATTTTAGTTTGAAAACAAAGAATTTTATAAACACCATAATGCAGATTTGAGTTCAGATTTTGAATTTTGCTGAGGATTTTGATTATTACGTTATTACCATTAAAATAGTTTATTGACTTATTTCTAATCGACAGTACGCATATGGTGCCTTAAATTATACGAGTTACGAACTGGTACGTTCCTGTAGTACTATGAGGAGAGTAGATCATGTAGAGAGTATCTTCAATATTTTTATGACTTTTCAACTTCCCGGACAAAATACTTGACAACAAGTCAATGCTGATTTTATTAGTGAATATAGCTCCATATAAATCATTGACATGGAAAAGTCACAACATATTTTTTCCACTTATACACAATCCCTTCCTAGGAAGATGATCCGATCAAATTTACATGATTTGAAATATTGAGTTCATTTTAGAAATCGGACGAGGGCAGAAGTAATAAATTCATCACTTCTGTCATGTTCGATGAACATTATCCGTAACTTGCAGAAGAGTATTATTGACTTTGTCGTTTTCTTTCTTATCCGCCTTTCTAGCGTAGGACAATCTACGAAAACCCAACGACGGAGTAGATTCGACTCCTTCAAATTTTGTCCTCGGGCAGGATTTCCCTTGGCTTCTATGGCTCTTCCTGTCCAGTAGATGCTTGTCCACGTACGTTCTAAGTTTCGGAAAAGTAGCTGTCTCGGGTTTGAAATGATCTAACCCGACGTCACATGCAACGAATGTCATCGTGAACTCTGCAGTTGATTATGCCATTTAAAAGTATATAATGTAATATAGGATGAATTTTATTTGGATTGTGAACTTGATTTATGTTTTGACTTCATTCAACTTTACTTTCCTTACATCTTTGGCGAAGTTTTCATTATTAAATAACTTGATTCCCATTTTCCTTCCATTTTTTCTTCTTTTGTTAAGTGTTGTCCTATCAATACAGTTCAACTTAAAATTTCCCTATATTTCAATATTTGAAATGCGTCGAAGAAGATAATTTTTTTCAGCTTTTTTCTTTTCATTGTTCAATTACGGTCGGTACGAATGGTTTTATAGAGATAGAGTAGATAGAGTAAGTTGTTATAATTTAATTTAATGCGTTTTGGTATGTAAGGGCATTAAGCGTTTATTCAATTTATTATGTCTTTGTTCCAAAAAACCAGTTCAGTCAAATTCCATAATCAGTTGTTCTTTGCTACATTCTGTGCTTGATATTGTTTGATAAAATTCCGTCGGATGTACGATGCTTATCAATTCACGGAATTTTCTAGCCCCAGAATTAGAAATGTAAGCTGTGTTCTATTGCCACTAGGTACCACACAAGATCGATCGTGTATCACAATGGCAGATTCAGATCGTTCGAAGAACCTTAAACTGGAGATGAGATGTATTTTCCTTTTGTCAGACCAGGATATGGATTGTGCCACAACTCAATCACGCTGCATTGACCAATTTCACTCCAGCGGAGGTAAATCAGCGATTTGACCATCACGATGTACATGTGGATGAGTCCTGCATGTTCTGAGAAATGCAGTGGCTGCATCGTCTTTCTATTCACCCATTCTTTAGTACGAGGTCACATCAGCATCAAACCAAATGCTCAGCACCACCTTTCAACTGCCCCTCCCTCGCTTGCAAGCTTTGTCTCGACCATGTCTTATGCTCGAGAGTTTAATCAATCATTGCACAATCAGTCTCGGATGGATAAAAAGAGAGGCCATTGCGCTTACCTCATATGATATCTGGCAATCGCCTAATTTACATGAATGACGTGCCGTAATGCACATAACCTCCATCACGTCGGATGCCATGTTGTTGTTATTCTGAAACCACATAGCATCAGTGATCAGATGCCCGATCGCACAAGGGAAAAGTATTCGAGTAATAAGAATTGAAATGAGATGATATCAGAAAATGAATAAATTTCGTTTCCAAGGCATGGTGCATATTTCACCTGATGTACATAGGGAGGAAATTTGAATGTGAAGGAGGAAAGGATAAATACGTGAATGGGTCAGCACACTTGGAAGTAAAAGATAAAAATGGGAAGGAGAAAGATGATGATGTTAGACCAGGCCCACTGAGAGGAAGAATGTGTTGTACCTGGCCCCTTCATGGAAAGGAGATGGACTTGAACATTCCATGACATGTCTTGAGAATGCAAAGAGGCACCGAGGGAGAATGACACATGTCACGTCCGAACAGAAAATCGCCCCGTCCGTAGATATTAACCGAACAGCGCCATGGCGTCCCGTGTCTTTGAATCGGACACATGCACGTCCACCTGAACTCTCCAGTCACCACTACAGACCGTCCTAGACTCAACCCCAACCCAACCCAACCCAATGCGCTTGACTCAACTCAAATCGAGTTAACGAAACCGACTCGTTCCCGCGGTCAACTGGGGTTCGCGAGGGTCACGGGCTGCGGAGCTCCGTACAAGAACGAAGCCGGTCCGGCTCTTGTAGGAGAGAGAGAAGGAATTTCAAGGAAGGACTTCGTCGGTCCAAGCGGCTGTACCCACCATGTAACTAATGGAGGGAAGTGACAAAGAGTATGGGAAAGCCAGCGCCCGAAGGACACGAAGACGGGAAACTTTCAGTCCATCGAGGGATTGACTGCTGTACATACGGGATTCATTTGCCGTCCTGCCAGAATAGGAAGCCCCGCATTGCGCTTGAACTGCCGGTCAGTCGAGGCCGGGGCTGGGGGTTCTCCGGCTCTTCTTTACACGACAGACCGGCGCCCGATACCGAGTCCTCCTCCTCCTCCTCGCGGGACCCCACCTCGCACCCGACATTCCCCGATCGTCACGTACACCTGTCGCCCGTCTAACCCACTCTCCACCGACAGCTATACTCCTGGCGCCCTGCCGCTGACCCCCGCGAGGCAGCCCCAACCGGCTTCCCTCGGTCTCGATCTCGTATAACTACCCGGCACTGCAGCGGCCGGCGCCGTCCAGATACAGATCGCACGGCTGTGAGAGGGCAGGCTGGACGAGCCGGTCACCCGGCGGACTGCGCACGGGCGGAACGGAGAGGAGGGGCAGGGGCAGCAGGAGCAGGGGGTGGGGCAGAGGAGGGGCAGGGGGAAGAGTCGAAGCGGGGCTTGGGGCTGTTCGCTCTGGCGCTGGCGCTGACCTCCCGAGGACGGGGAAGGAAGCAAGAGAAGGGAAGGGAGGGGGAGGGGGTTTCCGTCTGGGGCTCGAGGAGGGAGGAAGGAGGAGGAGGAGGAGGAAGGAGAGGGAAGCGAGAGCGAAGAGAGGGGGGAGCTTTTGTTGCTGAGGGCCTGGGGCTGCTGGTGCTGGTGTTGCCGCTGCTGGTGGAGGAGGAGGAGGAGGTGGTGCGGGTGGGGGCTGGGCTGGCGGGGCGGGGCTTGGGCTTGGGCTTGGGGCTGGTGGTGATGCTGCTGCAGTAAGGGGAAGAGGGGGTGTTTTGTTCACGTTGTTGTTGATGAGGAGGAGGGAGGAGCAGAAGAGCAGAGAGGAGGAGTGGCCTGTCTGCTGCTGCTGCTGCTGCTACTGCTGTTGGTGCTGCAGCCCACGGAATAGGATTTCTTCTTCGTCGTCGGGGGTCCTCGTCGTCTTCGTCGTCTAGGAAAGCAAGCAGGCCGGGGAGGGTTGGAGGGAGGAGAGGGTGGTGGTGGAAAGAGTGTGTAGTGGTGCTGGTTGTGCTCCTTCCATCGGTATTTGACTCTGGGTGTCTGGTTTTTGCATTTCGTTGATGCTTTTGGTTGCTTCATCCGATCGATCGGTTTGCTTCGCTTCGCTTCGCGTCTCGTCTCGTCTCGTCTCTGCTCGCGCTGCCTTGCCTCGCCTCGGCCTCGGCCTCGGCCTCGCCTTACAGTCGCTTTGTCTTCTCTGTCGGGTTCGACAAGGGCTTCTGCGCAGGGCGTCGAGCTTGAGCGAGGACGGACGACCGAGGCAAGCAGGTAGGGCTGCGAAGGCAGCACGGGAGAGGGGGCCGCGAGGAACTAGAGAAAGAAGCAGGTGTCAGTGAAGCGAAATATCTTTGCCCTGTTTGGTACTGACTGGGGGAGAGTGTGGTCTTGGTGGGGGTGGTTTGCCGCAGTCGCCTGCTGCCTCATCATGTGAAGCGCGAAACGCAGTGGATTTGGTGGTTCAGATTGTTGATGTTTTGAGAGCTGAGGAGTCTTGGCATCGCGCAACGAAGGCGGAGGAAGGCGATCTTTGGGGGAAGGAATACAGAAAGAGGGCGTCGTTGCTGTCGTGTGAAAGACACAGAGGAGTTTGCACGCAGGCGTGGAGTATCGGAGGTCTTAGGGTTTGGACAATAAGAAGGGGAGAGCCATGCCGTCCTATGCTGATGTAGACAGACAGATAGAGCAGCTTTCAGAGTGCAAGCCCTTGTCGGAAATAGAGGTGAAGAATCTCTGTGAGCAGGCTCGTGCCATTCTTGTGGAAGAGTGGAATGTGCAACCTGTCAAGTGTCCTGTTACCGTCTGTGGCGATATCCATGGACAGTTTCATGATCTGATAGAGCTTTTCCGGATAGGAGGCAAAGCTCCCGACACCAACTATCTTTTTATGGGAGACTATGTTGGTAAGTCCCTCCTATTCATCGCTGTCAATTGCTGATTCGGAATGTCATCGTTCTCTGACTTTCGTTCTCTGTCCTTACTTCCTGCGATGTCCCTGACATGCTTGTACTGCCCTATTCCATGATTTCACATTTGTCTGTAAATGAAATTGTAAGCCTGCTGCTCTGTTTTATCTGGTTTGTGGATGTCGGGCCTGTGTCCTTGGGGCTCTATTTATGTCATCGGCCACACTCTACATTCTCTTGAGAGCTGCCGGCCGCACGATAATCATAGATCACTCCCTCCCCTCCGATCTCATCTCCACCTCATCTGTTTCTCTTTGATCTACCTCGTCGGGATTGTACTGAATGTGCAATTATCTATTTCGCCCTGCCCAAACATTCCAACATCACTGCATCTCCACAATATGCTGAAGCTGTTCTCAATGCGAGGATGACTTCGCACGATTCTGTTTTGATTTTCGAAGTCTCTGGTTGGAAGATAAAGTCGAACTCGTCATCCGAGACTCCAATGGAATGAATTCCTACATCTTGGAGCGATTTGGGGGCATAAAAGCTAGTGTTTTGCGATCAAATGGACGTAGTTGTGGGCGATCTCCCTTTCGACGGCTAAGCTTAACCATTCAGCCTTATTGGATCATACTTGGATCATGCACATGTCTCATTTTTTTTTAATGGGAGGATCCGCAGATCCAACCGAGAGTTGGGAATGTCGCGTTCATGTCTTTGATATATGTGTACAAATTTTAACTATTAGTGGTTACAAATGCTTGCTTCTGGGCACTACACCAGCTTTTAATGAACAGCTTTGCATGAATTGCAATGCATTTACCTGCCGCGACGATTTGATGGAGTTGCTCGATCTATGACTCAAATATTTCTGCAGAGAATATTGATTCTATTTGATTCTACTGAAATTCCAAGGTTTAACGATTCCATCGGCAAGATTTAATGCCTGCCCATGGCTGAAATGTAGGCAATAATGATTCATCTTTCCGCCTGTATTCAGACATGAAGATCAAACATTTCTAGGCCTCAGGTTAGCTGGGTCTAAGGCGTAAAATGTTGTCAACCTTCAAATTCCAAGTGTTTTTTGAATTGAGACCCTCATTTACTCTTACTTCATATCTATTGCACAATCAAACGAACATCCGACTCAGTTAACCCTCTTCCGCAAGGTAATTGAAGTTCAATTCGAAGTATAGGCTTCTTTGAAGCTGAAAATCGTATGGCACAATTGTTCGGAGGATTGTGCACATCAATGATACTGCAGAAACTTGGAGTAAGAATCGCATAGTGTTGTCTTGGGTTTTCACAAGTACCTCAGTCAGTATTTTACATGGAAATTTTTTTCTGCCTGCCCAAACTTTGTTTAGTAAGTTCTAGGTTTGGTCAATGAATTAATACCTCCCTGTTTCCCTATGTTTGAGAGCTTTAGATGTGCAATGTAGACGTCTACTTCTTGGTGACAAGTGGTGAGGTCTTTCGTGTCTATTTTGAGGCCCACCAGTCTTTCAAATGGTTTTCTTGAAGGTGGCCTCTGAGGAGTTTATAAGCGCAATTTCGTTCATATTTGTCAGGCTCTTTCTAGTTTTTTACAGAAAACTTTCAAATTTCTTTTGGTTGTCGTTCGTGGAGTTCCCTACAAGATAGAATTGTAAGATTTGGTGGCCTTTCTGTTCGAGATTGTAAAGATACCGGTTGATCCCCTGTTTTTGTTTTCAGAAGTCAAACTTTTAATAAAGATATCTGTTTTCTTGACTTGGTGCATGTTCGCTTGGCTTGGTACAGATCGAGGTTATTACTCAGTTGAGACGGTCTCTCTGTTGGTGGCCTTGAAAGTTCGCTATAGAGATAGGATTACAATCCTGCGAGGGAATCACGAGAGCAGGCAGATTACTCAAGTGTAAGAATCCTCCTTTTTACTGACGTTTTTCTGGGATGATCATCGTGTCTATTGTTTATCTCAACTTCTTCTACAAGATGATAGGGGGATGTTGGATATCACTGATGAGTGGTGTCCTACTTCGAAGTTCTACACTTTGATATGTGGTATTCTTTACCCTCCCTTTATTTGCACAACTTCTTACTTGTGGATCTTACTGAACTCCAGTTATGGATTTTATGATGAATGCTTGAGGAAATACGGCAACGCCAACGTATGGAAGTACTTTACTGATTTATTCGACTACCTGCCTCTTACCGCTCTTATCGAACGCCAGGTGAAAATTTCACACTTATAGCACACTACTAATCTCTCGTGTGTTTCTTGCATGAAAAAAATTCACCCCTGAAGGTGAGAGATGAACTTTGTGTGCTTCTAGTTCTCTATAAGAGTGTTGTGATGGTAACTAACTTGTCTTCCTTTTTTAAACATCAGATTTTTTGCCTGCATGGTGGGCTTTCACCCTCGCTGGACACCTTAGATCATATTCGAGCTTTGGATCGTATCCAAGAAGTAAGTTGACTTGTCATATTTGATTTCAGGGAAAAATCTTTTAGAAAAAAAGAACTCATCAGCAAGTGCTGGTGATATTCACTTAGCAGGATTTGTGTCCTAACTCAGTACTTCATATGTTCTCCAACTGAACCTCATCTGGAAGTGGTTCTCTGTTCCATTATAACTTGTGATGCTCCATATTCAGGGTGAATGTTGACATCTTGTTTGCACACTTCCAGGTACCACATGAGGGACCGATGTGTGATTTGTTGTGGTCCGACCCAGACGATCGGTGCGGATGGGGTATCTCCCCCAGAGGTGCTGGATACACATTTGGTCAGGACATTGCAGAGCAATTCAATCACACAAATGGCCTCAATTTGGTGGCCCGTGCTCACCAGCTTGTGATGGAGGGCTTCAACTGGTGTCAGGTACATCTCAAACATTATGTTCTTTTGTTGTGAACTATGTCGTTTAGAAGATTTTGGATGCAGGTTTTTATCTAGGCTGCCCTTGTCTACCTTGTTACAAACTGGAACCTACTTTCGTCTCTTTATGCTTTATTTGTGACATCTTAAAAGTGCCAAGCTTATCAAGGTGAGCTGTTGGAGTACATGTTCCCTGTGAAATTGATGTATATTACAAGTATCTGCCTAACCACGACCGACGTTTATATTGATGAAATGAACTTTCACCCACTTGACTCTTGTCGTTTGATTTTGTAGGAAAAGAATGTGGTCACTGTTTTCAGTGCCCCCAACTACTGTTATCGATGTGGTAACATGGCAGCCATTATGGAGATTGATGAGACCATGCGCCGCTCTTTTCTGCAGTTTGAGCCTGCACCTCGGCAAAGTGAGCCTGATGTGACTCGCAAGACGCCAGATTACTTTTTGTAAAAAAAGCTGGCTCTCTGGGGCTGTCACAGAGTTTAAGTTTCTGCTGTATAGTTCCTAGAAGGCATATTTTTTTAATGAAATATGAAAGAACATTCCCTTTACCTTACCCTCTTGTACCTATGTGAACGTGGTGGTCTTGTGACCGTGTTGTCCTTAGATGTACGAGTTCTATTGCAAAGTTAGGGGCCATTGTAATGTTGCTATTCTTTTAACTCGGCATCGCTGCTCTTCTGCCTGCTTTGCCCCCATTGAGTGACATGACAACTTCGTTTGTCAGTAAAGACTTTGTACCCCTGGGGCTTCAATTACAAAAGTGTCATGGGGTTTAGGTTAATGGGGGATTTTCTCATTTCATGTGCTCATGGGTTACATACGACCGGAGTGCGATTTTCAAGGCTTCACTGGGATTGTAACATGCAAAGCTGAAGTGGGCAGAGAGTGACCCTGTATAAGAGACAGGTGTTGGTGATCCAGTAGAGGTGCTCCACAGAAGCTCAACAAGCAAAGCGACCTGTGCAGAGAGAGCTATTCAACCCTTGAATCTCATCAAGCTCAGTGGAGGACAAGTTTGCCCGTTTGTTTATAAAGTATCTGCTCTGCTGGTCAGCGTCAATATGGTCCTCTAGGTACTGGTACTGCGTGGTAGCCTTGGACCAGTTGAATAATTGTGACTCAACTTCAACTGGGCAGTGTACTTCGGAGGATGATCGAGTGATCTGGCGCTATGTCAAATGGGATTGGTTAGTGTTCGTTGTAGACATGGTAGTTTTAGAGGGTTTTGAGTCTTAGAATTGTACGCAGTACTAATTCCATGTAGACTTTTTGGGGGCCTTACATTTTGTGAACTCTGGCAACTTGGCCAGGTCCCTTGATAAGGGCAACTGTTGAGGCTTTCAATTGAATGCTGGCTCTTATTTGGAGAATGCTCATCTTCTCCGTTGTCAAGCCGGGTGTTTTTTATGTGTGGGGTTCTTAATATGCTACAGCCATGGAATGACTTGTTTCCTATGGATTGTGTTTTGTGCTTTATCTTTAGCAAGTCGCCTTCCTTTTCTGATCCTAGCTCCATAAGCGCAAAGGTGTCTTGAGTATGCTCATGTCTTCGTCTTTAGTTGCAAGTGTTCTTGGTGTCAAGTGTCGATCAAATGCAGTGGAACCAAGGGATTTGAATCGAGATTGCTTGTGTGAAGTTTCTTGAGATGGCTGTGATCGTAATCTAGTGTAGCGGTTGCTTTAAGCATATGTACGACAATCTGGCTTGTGTGTTCGATCATAGTCAATGCTAGTAAACTTGACCCTTAACATCCGATCCATGGTGGGGTGTGGAGCTCACGTGTCCAAAGTAGTGTAGTAACCTTGAAGTAATCGAGAATTGTTGTATGACATTTTAAGTTACATTTGAAGCTGGACTGTGCGGTATCTATTTGAGATCTGGAGGTGCACCTTCTCCCCAAACTTTGAGCTTAACACAAAGTTAATCAAAGTATTTAAGATGGAAGGATTGAAATTTGTGGAGAGACACCCGAACACAAAGAGTATTCATCAAGACTGAACGGAATTCAGTTTTAACTTATCAGAAAGCAGACTCAGGATCTTTGTGTCAGAAGATCGAACCTTTTGCATCGGTAGTTAGAATCTGAGTGAAGAGCGGGAGATATTAATCTGTTTGACATATTATAACTTTTCAGTCCAATAGGGAATCATTTCCCCGTCAACTTTCGCGCCAAATTTATAATTCTGCTTCGGCCAATTACAAGCAACTCTGCGCCGCACAGGCGGGCATTCCCCGTGGGTGATAAATTCCTCAAATTTTGAGCCTCCAGACACGTCTATGACATCTAGTGACATTCAATTGCCGACGCTTGTATTCGTCCATGAATCTTATCAATCTTTTAGGAATCTAAAACTTGTGAAGCAACTGAAAGGTAGGGAAATCCACGATTCCACATTCAATGGTAGTCCCATCTTTCTAGATAACTCAGATGAGAAACATCCTGTTATGTAGATTACAATGAGGGAATTTTAATTTCTAGTTGCAATTCTTGTTATCTTTCGTATCTATTATTAAAAGGAAGTTGATATTCAGTCACGACCAATAATAGTATACACACTCAGATTATGTCTTAATTCTTTTTCATCCAAATGACATTCACTTGAATATGGATATCACATAGATGTGCTGAAAACGAATAGGAAATAAACTGTGATTATCAACTCATCACCTCTTTTCCATACTTATTAATTTATCTCTCAGCCATGGAATATAATTTAATCTCCATTTGCAATTCAAGCACTGGACACATTTCAATTAGTGTATTTGTTCTATACTTGCAACTTTCAAGTACACTCTTGTCTTTTCTATTCCATAAAAGAAAACCATGTGCTTACATAGCCCATCTCAAATGAGGTCACTTTCTTTTGTATATGTTACAATGTGACTTTACAATTATTACATGTACGTGTTTTGCACGTACATGTAAATTGCCTAATTCAACATACCTAAATTTCAATATATGTGGATCTTATAGTCCGTAAATTTTTAGGCTGACAAGACAAAAAAATAACTTTCTATTCGAATGCACGTCATGCTCTAAATTTCCCGTAGCTTTAATTTAGATATATAATAATTGCTTTCAAGAATTTACAATCAAGACAATCAATTGAAGTCAATTAAATGCTTATTTATGTAGATTCAAGTGGGATTTATACACATAGTAGTTTATTACAAACTAATGCAAGAAGGAAATGGATTTTGATTATATATGTCATTGGATGTCAAAGCCCATTCTACACTAGGTATACATACATGTTTCATTTGAATGTAAAAAGGTAAAGTAGCTGTGTGTAACATGCATAAATTTTCGTGGAGGTTACAAAGTCAGATATAAATATGTGTGTGAATTTTTTAATTTCATAAGATCTATTCCAAAAAATACATATTTACAATATGGATTTCACTGACAGGTTCAATGTTTTACGATATCAACCACCTTTCAACATGTACAAATATTCAAATATCTTTATTTATCATTAAGTATTATGTTTTTTAGCTATGATATGGCATATTAAAATAGCCGAAAATCAATATGCAAAAATTTGAAGCTATTTAAGTTTAATAGATACTTTTTTACTGACAATACAATATAGCATTACGTGTGCAATAAAAACGAGAACATCAACATTCATGAAATTCCTCTGACATTATCTGAAGTGAATCCATATAATCTCGACGGTATTCTCATCCTTTCGCTATATATTTGTGAAAGTCCTCAAATTGGAGGGAAACTAGGAAGACTCAATTACGTCACGCTACCATTGCTTAAATCAAATAATAATATATGAAAGAAGGGGTGCGCTGATTGGGTGAGAAAGTGGCGACTAGGCAAAGGACGAACGTAGGGCGGGCGCGTGATTGGCCGACATCGCTAGTCGTATAGGAGAACGAGGACCGCGACATGGCCGACTTTATCCAGCTGATCTAGCGGCCGTCCGCTGGATCTCTCTCGTTGCTGCCCGTGCGCTCGGACTTATTCAGCAAACCTCCAGAAGCTTGCAGGATATGTTTGCCTCGAACATGTGGCTCACCTTTGTCGCCTCCTCGCCACCAGAACCTTCCTACAATAGCGGCCACGACATGTCATCTACCGGTTGCATCCGGTCATTCGTCTCACCATGTGCATTAAGCGAATCCTGAAGCAAGCCATTATCGATTGTCTGATAAAACTCTTGGATACATTGGTGTTTTACTAACAGTGTACAATTATTTCATAAATTTATTGTAATCGAAACTTTGTAAACAAGAAACACATTTATGTGACAAACTGATGGTTGGTGTCATCACAAAATTTTTGCATCCACTCCAAACATCGGTTTTTTTTTAATGATAAAGATTGAGAAGTATACACATTTTAATGTGGAAATAGAATGGTAGATATCATGTCGTATTTAGAAATGATGAAAGGTGTAAGAGAGAGAAAGAGAATGAGTGCATTTTTTTTGTAAACATAACTTACACAAGTGCTGAGTTAAATAAACATTTGAGATGTAAAATAGATCACCAAAGAAATTTTCTTAAAAAAAACGAATAATAAGATGAGGTTATTTCCATCCTAGTGTTTATGCAGCTAATTCCTAGCTATCAGTCAAATAAATCAAGCCAGTATCAGCAAAGAAGCTCAGACATGAGAGAACTTTTTCGCGAAGATCTGAGCGATTGGTTTGGTCAGAAGTTCGCTCTCGAATAATAATCTGTATCCAACACCATTCACTTGGAGATGTTAGATATTACTAATATCTAACTAATATCATATTAGTTATTAGTGAAATGCAAGTGAGAGGACTACATTCACTTGGCACGCCGCGGATGATTTCATGTCCAGAGCTTTCAGGACAATCTGGTTCCGACTGTTGCACCTCGCGTTAACATGACGTTGAGATTCAATTTCAATTTCGAAATTCCAACGAACTAATCCACATTGCCCAACGTGTGTAGTCGCCGAATTTAGGCCCCTGGATGACGAAGCCTTCCACCGAATTGACAAAGAGACAGCAACAAAAATTAATCAAAGAGCGTCAGTCCCTAACCTTGTTGCTGCTCCAGGTTTATAGCCAGTCTCTCCAAATTTGGTCCAGAATCATCACTTTCAAAATGTCATGTAGGAGGTTGTTTTTTTAACTTTATTATTTTATTTATTTTATCTTTTGGAACCCGGAAGCTAAAGTGGACCCTTTGTTTCGTTCGGGTTCTTCTTTCCATAATAAATATTTCCATCAAAATTTCCTTTCATGACCACAAAGTTTGATGATTTTTCATTTTCATTCGATATTAGAGACAAGGTGAGTGGGATGTCGATGTACCGTGAGAGCGTTTTATATCGCGAATCAGATCATTATGGAAAAATATGTTTCAAATATTTTTCATTTCTTAGCAACTGTAACAATTGTATCATCATAGTTCTTGATAAAAAAGCTACAAATCATTTGCAAGATATGATTAGATATATATTTGATCTGTAGAGTATTTAAAAAGCAAAAATTTTACATAAAAATGACCAAAAAATGATAATATTCATTCTCATTCGATATCAGAGAAGCGGTGGGCGAGATGTAGATTTTAGGTGAGAGTGATGAATTTGCAAGATATGATTAAATATATATTTGATCTGCAAGTACTTAATAAATATTTTTTTTACTAAAAATGACAAAAGTTATGTTGATATTCATTCTAATTCGATATCAGAGAAGCGGTAGGCGAGATGTAGATTATCGGTGATAGTGATGAATTTTCAAGATTTGATTAAATGTATATCTAATCAAATAAATGAATAAATATTTTTAAAAAAATTACCAAAATTATGATGACATTCGGTGGGCGAGATGTAGATTTTCGGTGAGAAGTGATAAATTGATCGCGAATCGATTCATTTTCGCGATCGTACTGCAGTGACAGAGGCGTGAGGGTGCCGCTAAAAGCGGAGGGAGAGAAGCCAGTTTGGCGGGCGCCTCCAAAGTTGGAGGAGGGCAGAGGGGCAGATAAAGCGAAAGGGACGAACATTATCCACAGAAATCTGCGCGCCCACTCACTTTTTCTCCTTATCGATATCTGCAGCGGCAGCGGCGATCGTCGCATGGAGCGGGCGATTGTTGGAGGCGTGCGGCAGAGCGGCATCAAGTGCTCGGCCTTCTTCATCCTCGGCAGCCCGTTCGCAGTCGACGCATTGTGGACATTGTCGCCGGCTGCCGCAGCGCGCATCGAGCGATCAGGAGCAGCGTGAAGGTCGAAGCTTTGCAGGGCGCAGCAGCAGCAGCAGCAGCTATGGCGGCCTCCGTTGCCACCGGGTCCGTCTGCAAGGCAGCGGCCTCCCTGGCCGTGTCGAGCAGCTCCTTCTCCGGCCAGACCGTGCAGAATGTGTCCGTCTCCAAGGCTTTCGGCCTCAAGGCCGCAGGCTCGCGCGTCACCTGCTCCGCCGCTGAGGACTTCGTCCAGAAGTGTGCCGATGCTGGCAAGATTGCTGCCGTCGCTCTCGCCACCTCTGCCCTCGCCGTCTCTGTAAGTCGCTCGTCTGATTTTGCTCGCTTTGCTTTTCTTCTGTCTCGTCAAGGTTTTCTCGATCGAAATGATTTGAGTTTTTCTTGATCGATTGTGCGGAGCCGTGGCATGATATCGAACCCTTACCTTACACTGTGAATTGTACTGCAGGGCGCGAATGCTGAGGGATTCCCCAAGAGATTGACCTTCGACGAGGTGAACTCTCAGACTTACCTCGAGGTGAAGGGAACCGGTCTTGCCAACCAGTGCCCCATCATTCGGGGAGGACAAGATGGATTCAAATTCAAGGCCGGAGACTACACCATGAAGAACCTGTGCCTCGAGCCGACCTCATTCGTCGTGAAGGCCGAGGGCCCACTCAAGGGATCGGGTGAGGGCTACCAGAACACCAAGCTCATGACCAGGTTGACATACACCTTGGACGCCGTGGAGGGACCATTCTCAGTGGGCACAGACGGAAGCGTGAAGTTCACAGAGAAGGACGGAATCGACTACGCCGCTGTCACCGTGCAGCTGCCAGGAGGCGAGAGGGTGCCATTCCTCTTCACCATCAAGGAGCTCGTCGCCAGCGGAACCCCAGACTCATTCGGGGGACCCTTCTTGGTGCCTTCCTACAGAGGCTCGTCATTCTTGGACCCGAAGGGACGAGGAGGATCGACCGGTTACGAGGATGCCGTCGCCCTGCCCGCCGGAGGTCGTGGTATGGAGGATGAGCTCGCCAAGGAGAACAACAAGAACACCGCCGCATTGCAGGGCAACATCACCTTCAGCGTAGCCAAGAGCGACCCATCGACCGGAGAGGTGGCAGGAGTGTTCGAGAGCATCCAACCATCTGACACTGATTTGGGCTCCAAGGCGCCCAAGGAGGTGAAAATCGAGGGTATCTGGTACGCTCAGCTCGACTAGATTCACAGGTCTCGTGGGCCATGGTAGCCTTCGACGGGAGAACGCCCGCCGTGTATATGATTTTGAATGTGTCCATATTAAATTGACTAGGATGATGAGTGAGGTCCTGATCATTCTACACTCATGTACTCAAAGTTAGTCCCCCCTGCCCTCCCTTCCTTCGAATAGAGGGTTCCTATTGCCATCCGAGTTCGTTGGCGAGATTTGTTGACATTTCAAGTAATGCACCTCCGCACGCCGTTTCAGCTGTCATCCGCCGCTTGTATCCTAAGATCCTAATCAAATTTCATAGTGCTTGATGGCAAATTTTGTTCCACTTCTCTATGATCTTCGTTTTCTTCGGATGTTTTTGCGCTCTCAATGGCGTGAATCTGTGAATTTTGGCGTGTGACCATATAAGGAAGTCGTGAACTTGTGTAGAGAAGAATTTGGATGAAAGCCATGCATCATCACTGCATGACAGATCATATCTCAATATAAGCAAGTTCGAACAACGGCTGCGATTGTGAATCAAAGAAAACTCGTTAAAAAAGAAAAAAGTTATTCTCAACAAAGAAAATAAATAACCCTGGAAAAAAGAAAAAATATATTGAACATATGTACATATTCTATGGTCGTTTATATGTCATATAATATGTAAATATTTACTACTAAAATATCGAAGAAAGTGGAAGTAAGAAGAAAAAGAATGTACTATTGATAAAATATCTAAGTAACAGAAAGGAGAAAGAAAACTAAAATTTTCTTCAACAGTGAAATATGAATACTGAAGGAAAGAGAATATAACACACAGCTATTATAACTAAAGGAGGGAAGAGAATATAACCTAGGCAAAAAAATATATAAATTTTACCGAAAGAAAAAACGGGTCAAGTTTTTTACAAACAATGTATACATTTCAAATCTACAAAATGAAAACTAAACTAACAATACATCGTTATGTCACATAGTCGCAGCAAGCAAGAAACAATATGATCTTGAATGATTGGTCACCAGCAATTCGCGGGTGCGGATTTTCTATTTATCCTTCATGTCCATGTTGGTACATCTGAACCCATTGGGCCGGCCGTCTAATAGCTGCAGCCAGCGAATGTGCTCTTCACTTGCACTTCAGGTCTCATGATCGATTACACTTCGAGGGACGAGGGACGCTAATCTCTATTTACAGACCTGCTAAACAACTACAATTCCATGCTCGACCATCGTATTTACAACGAGAGCAAGCTTGCCCTCGAACTTCTCGTTCTTCCGGAGATCGAATTTGACAGCGAAAACGTCGGCTTCGATTGACCTCTCGGCCAGCAGCTTCCCCACCGTTTTGCACGCATTGTCGTCCGTCAGCGATTGCAGCGAGAACCTCAATTCTTTGGCATTGGTCGTGGCTACGGACACGACTCGGCTCGTGACACGATGCATCACTTTGGCGTGAATGTACTTGTGCGAGATGAACACATCGAGCATGAATGGCTTCAAAAACTTCTCGTGCCGCTGTTTCCATGACCTCTTATTGCTCGGCGGATCCAGTGCACTCTTCGATTTCCGTGTCCACGCAGCTCGCGCCACACCAACCTGCGCCATGGACGCGAAAATCTGAGACGTGAATTTGACATGACACACATCCCAACTCGGAACACGATTCAAAATTGCTCAACTTCAATCTACAGCCACAAGAGGTTTGCCGATTCGATTCCCGACATATCTTCGGTGTGCCACAACGAAGCGGGACGAGCTCTAACAGCACAAGAAATTCGCAACGAGCAACCACATTCACAATGCAGACAGTTCACAGCGCCCCTCGAAGAAATGCAAATTACGCAATTTGAGGTCCACAATGCACAGAAAATCACCTGCCGATTTTGAATTCGCACGACGGGTCGAGCAGAAAACTGCGGTGGTGCACAGAAAAACGAGCTCCATCCCGTGGCAAGCCCCGCGGCGTCCGGTCGAGGCAGACGCACGAGGACCGGCCTCCGGTGCTGCTGCTGGCCTGGAGTGGGCAGCACAAGAGCAGCCCTCGAGGCCAGAACTGTCGCCATGAATCGAGAATCAGAATTGCCAGCTCCGATTCCGGACGAGCACGAGCAGATGACAGAGCACGCTTCGATTCCTTCGATTGAACCCTATCGACTACCCCCGACGGCGCCTTGGGCTTGTCACCTGACTGCGCCGTCGACGCCAACCCAGCCCAGCCCCACCGCTGCCACTGCAACTTGGTCCAGATCCATGGACTGCGTCATATATTGGTACCACGTAAGACAGCAACGACGTCGGAAAGGCCCCGACGAGTCGAATCATATAATTCTGCACTCATGATCCATATTACAATTAGAAACTATTGTAGCCTTGAAAAGTGTATGCTTGGAACTTTAGCGTCCTCCTCGATTTATATGCATCTCGACATAGTTTGTGGCCGATCCCGTTGTCCCAGTAGTCATCCAACTTCTGTGGGGAGGGTTACAGTAATAATCAAACCCCCAGTTTATAGCTAAAATTTAAAAATGTAAAAAAATATCTACACCTTTTCACACAATATGATTGTGACAATAACCTGTGTTTGATAATATTTTATCTAATATTCAAGTTTTTTTTTTTTAAATGATGATATCATGTACTATCAAGTAATACTCTGTACTATCCTTCTATTTTTGGCATACTATTATGACCATCTTAATAGCAATATACTTTATGTCTTGATATCTACTTTCTTCAATGCATTATATATTTTACTTTTTCCAGTTCACTTGATTGACTTGAATAAATGTTGCATTTAATTGTAAATCGATGCTACTTCAAGACAAAGGGTATAGTTTTTGTTGTAACTCTTCTAAGATACAAAGACATTCCTGTCTTAGTGAATTAAATCATTTTTCTTGGAAAAAATCAGTACATTTTTAAATTAATTAAATACAATATACTACATCTATTCAATTTTATTAAAGAATAAATTGCAAAATTATATCTTGTGTCTTAGATTTACATTAAAAAAGGAGATTACATTTATTTACTTCTTTATTTTATCATATTCATCGAATCAAATTCTTCCATAAAATTTTAGTTCTCTAAATGTAGTACTAAGAACGAAAAGTCGTCAGGAATATATATTTTGAATTACAATTCTGTATGTAGATGTATCAATATGCAAGCAATTTTATCATCATGAATGTAAATGTTGACGATTTTATTTTCAACCGATCTTATTTCGATTCAAAAATCAATGCATTCAATTTACTATTTTAATGTAAAATACAGAACATCATATGTATTCTTCAATACAATTTATCATGCTCAAGAGAGGAAAATTTAATATAATTGTACCAAATTTAAAATTCACATAGATTATCAATCATATAGATTACACATGTAAATTTTATGAAAAATAAATATCAAATAAAAAATATTTTAAAAAAATGCAGTGCATTAATTTTATACAGTTTTGAAATCATGTCAAAAAAAAATTATTTTCAGATTATTGATTTTTTTTACACAATATAAGAAAATTACACGCAAAAATATTGTCTTAAAAGTCTAATAACGCAGATTATTAAAAAAATACTTACATTCTTTGTATCAAGATATATATATATATATATATTAAAAATTCTAAAAATATATTCAAATTATCAAATGATTATCGCACTTGATACTCCAAATCTGAATATATTTTTAATTTTATTCAAAAAAAATATAATCTTGCAAAAAAATTATATGTACTATTTTATTGAAGCTTCAAAAGAACATGTGAGGTTGTCATGATTACTGTGATAGTAATAAATCCCAAAACTCGTTTGTCTAATCATCAATAAGGATATTTATGATCAATTATGATGATTAGTTCAGGAAAAGTACAAACCTGTTTTTTACTAAATAATTTTTTTCAACTGACTGTATAAAAGTTATATGTACATATTAGAGCAACAAATATCAAATACATACACACACTATGTCATTATAAAGTAGATACATGAATGCACTATTTCAGATATCTTCGATGCTGAGTTTTTTTTTTTAGATTGATTCTTCTTTTCATCTAGATAACGAAAATTTTCAAATTTTTATAAAAATAATTCTATCAAAGACACAAATCACATGATATACAAGTACAATGAATATTTAATTTGTTGTGATGGCCTCAATAACACTCCTGCATGTGAATTTTCAAATCAAAGAAGATATAGTCTAATGATGATAAAAGGAACGAGGCGCTAAACTTGTAAAAAGAATTTGACTATTATACTCTGACAAGAAAGAAAGAAACCGATAAATAAACCGACTTTCGAAAATAAATAAATTCTCATTTTAATGATACACTTATCGCGAAATATTGAACTAATAGATATATAAATCTCTGGACATCGCCAAATAAGGTCAAGCTCCTTGCGAGAGAGTCATGCCACGCCAAGTTTAGACCAGAGATATTTCGTTCAAAGTATGAAGAACATTGCAGTCCGTTCTCATTCCACTCAACATTGTTGAGGCATATGTCCTCGAGGTACAGTCTATGTTATTCTCAAACACACAAACATGAAGACTCACTAATATAAATATCAAATACATATAGACACTATGTCACTATCAAGTAGATACATGAATGCACTAGTTCAAATATCTTCGATGCTGAGTTTGTTTTAGATTGATTCTTCTTATCATCTAGATAACGAACATTTTCAAATGGTTATGATAATAATTTTATCAAAGACACAAATCACATGATATACAAGTATAATGAATACTCACTCACTACACTCGTAAAATCGAAAGTGCGAAAATGACAGGAGAAACGCATCATGGAAACAATCTGATAATCATGAAAATGTTAGCAGCTGGCAGTCAACAGTTAAAGATATTTCTTCTCTGCGGAGGACTGAACAGGAGTCAACCGATAAAGAATAATATTCTCGTCTGAGGAGGGAATGGAATGGAGCTCATGCGCGAGTCAACAGTTAAAGATTTGTTTCCACCGAAGACACAAATAGAGAAACAATTTGACGCGAATTAAGAACCATTCTTCGGCACCGTCGTCACTGTTGACGGAAATCCATGGCTGTAAACTACTGATTCCTCGACTCGGTTGGTGTCCCTGTAGGGAGGGATAAAAGGAAGTCGAACTTCGTCTTTCGAGCACCGTAGGTCCGCAAACTTACACGTGCCGATTCCGTAGGTGTGTGCTGTAAGAGCACGGCCAGCCCCCTCCACCAGCGCAGCCCCCCTATAGCCCCTTCAGAGAAGCGGTCAGAGAAAAAGTTCGGGAGGTTGCAACTCGGTGCTTGGCCCAGAGAGCGGGGGCTGGGGGTGGGGGTGCGGATGGGGGCGGGAGGTAAAGGATCGAAGGGGCGGGAGGCAGAAAGGAGGGCGGGGGGTAAAGGATCGAAGGATGGAAAGGGGAGGAACAGGGGCTGGGGCTGGGGCAGGGGCAGGGACAAGGACAGAAGGAGAGCGGACCGAGGCTGGGCCTCTGAGCCCCTGAGGCCCTGGGAGGAGCAGGTCGCCGCTGGTGCACATAATGCACCACATGCTTGGAAGGAGCAGCCTCGGCCTCATCGAAGAAAAGCGCCCGCGAATTTCGAAGAATTTCGGCCCGAGGAGAGGAACGTCGTAAGCGGGGCCGGTGCTGGCGCTCATCTACAACGTTGCGCGGTTGATGGTGATGATGATGAAGGAGGAGGAGGAGGAGGAGGAGCGGCGGCGGGGGCAGCAGCAGGGGCAGGGGCAGGGGCAGAAGGGGGAGAAGGGGGAGCGGAAGGTGGTTATGGTTACGGGGAGGACGCAGTCTGCGGAGATGCGCAGAATGTGAGGACGGGGACGGCGACGGGGTTGGACCTTTCTTTCTTGCGCTTTCTTTTTCGTCTTGTCGCGTCTCGTCTCGTCGGGGGCGTCGGCTGCGTCAGCCATTACGTGGTCCGCCAAAATCTGCAAAAACTATTGCTGCGCGGAGAGATGGCACTGTCACTCGACGCACGACGGAAATGGAGTTTTTGCGCGTCTGTGGTAATGATAGACCTTTTCTGTCGAGGATCTTTCGTTTTGCTCTTTGTTCCTGGACTTGATTCCCGATCGGCCCCTTTGACACGCTTTTTCAAACCTCGCGAGCCCCCGTCCCGTGCTCTGATGATCGTCGTCGATCCGCCCTCCTGCCCACGCCGGAGCCGCACCTGTCGCCCCCTCTGCCCACTGGGGGCTGACTTTCGCCCATTGACTCGCAGCTCCCGGTGTCTCGTCGACCGGGCGTTTCTTGAGTTACAGCTGAATGTCGTCGAAGATTTTGAGCTTGTGCGTGTCTAATTGAGCTTATCGGAAGATTTTCACCCGGGGCTGCACTTGACAGAGCTCGGTTCTGCTTCTGTTCGTGAATTGTTGGTTCCTTACAACTGGTTGCTGTGCCAAGATCGTTAGCTCGCTCGACCCCGGTGAAATTTTCGCGCCTTGGTCCTCCTCCTCGTACAGTCGAAATACGAGAGCTGCTGTAGGGGCAGGATAATCCTTGACATTATGTTGCGGAGGGCCTCTCGGTCGGTCTGTCCCTCGACCTTAGTCGCAGAATTTACTCGCAATTCATCGCACACAAGCCTTTAGAGGTGGCGGTCGCTGAACCGTTTGCGGATTGAGGTTCCGTCCATGACATTCCAGTGTCTGATGGGGCTTGTCAGCAGCTATCGCACCCCGCTTGCCTTGGTTGACTTTCACGAGTGGAAAACGAAACCCCCAGGGATGTTATGTCGAGAATTTGGAATTGGTGGAGGGCTGGAGGTGATGATTGTACCTCATGAAGTACTTGAAGTTCTTCCCTTTCGATGTGGTGCGTTGGGGGCTGCTTTCGAATCTGTATGTCGCTGACGTAGGGATCTGTTGTTTTGGTGGTTCAAGAACACATGTTCAGTTTGTTCAGTCAAGGAGTGTGAGCAGGGAGGGCGGTTCGTAGTATGATGTAGTTGCGACCAATATGCGATAGGCACTTGGAGCTTCCAATTTTTTTTTCTCGTGGAGTATTTGCATCAGACCATCTTTGCTCTGGCCGAACCTTGAAATTGGACTCTGTCCAACGTACTTCTAACTGGGGAATCTGACTTCTGCATTGTCCCATCAGCAACGGAGAGTTCAAGTCGATGCTCCAACTCGAAATGGACATGTTCCGTAGGGAGCAATTTAAGACAATGCCATGGAATTAGCTAATTTAATCTCTGTGATGTAGCAAAATGTCGCTACTGAGATACGAGTTGCGCTGACCATGCGGTTGTTCTATCTTGAATTCAGAACCAACAATCTGAAGAAGAAGGAAGGAATCATATACTGAAGTCGGATATCCATGCAACAAGTTCACGCCGTCTGCTGCAGCGGATGAGTGAGACCGTTTGAATTCGGCAGGGTCTGGTTGCAGGTGCGTAGTTCTATGAAGCTCTTCCTCTAGAAGTTGCTGAAGTGAGTCCAAGTGAGGTTTCGGACAGTAACCTCTTTGTCAACGGTGTGTCTGAAACGGTGTCTGAAACTTCATCAGTAGGTACACATGACTGTGGGTTGTTATTTTGCCAGCTGATTTGTCAACGGACACTTTCTAACCAACAATAATGAAGTCGTTGTAATGATTCTGAGGCAGACCTAATTCGAACTTTTAACTATCTCGGGTACAAATTTAAGCACATTTTAGACGTTTTGCTCGTTTGTCGTCCATGAAGCGTATTTCTATGGGCTTAAAGAGAAAGAGAAAGAGAAAGAGGCTTCATAATCTGCGTCTGAGTTCAACACTCCACTTACTCATTCTACACCGTTCGCATGCAGAGTGAGAAAGTTCACCGAGCTGTCCGCATGCAAAACTCATTAGACTTGGTCCAGTGAATCCCACGGTTGAGATTATGTCTTTAGTGTAGCGTAGCTCAATGTTTAGTCTTAAATCTTTTCACAGTTTTGAGATAAAGTTTATATTGTCTTTCACGTTTGAGATTATGTCTTTAGTTTAGCGTAGCTCAATGTGTAGTCTGAATTCTTTTCACAATTTTGAGATAAAGTATATATTTTCTTTCTGCTGACAGTAGAATTATTCTTGTTAGGATATGTCACGATGTAACAGTATCTACTGAACGTGCCCATATTTCTTCCTTTTTAGGAGATCATTCTTTCTCAAGTTTGTAATTTATATTCGCCTTTAACCTTCAATGGACATGACTTGTTAATTATTAAAATGTGACTAAGGTCAGGCAAATCAGCCTCATCTGATATTAGCTTGGTGTCAAAAAGTTGATGTGCATGGTAACATGAGGCTTACTACAGACATGTTTTCTTATATGGTTGGCATATGGACTCGCATAAGACTAGTTGTGACCTGATAAGGCTTGATAGAGTCCGCGCAGGATGTTGCCAAGGCCATCAAACTGCCCTCAGGGCCAGATCTGCTGGACGACTTGAAGATAATTTCGGAAGCGTATTACTCTAGGCTTAAAGAGAAAGAGATTGGTTTGGATGTTGAATATAATTCTGCCCTCTTCCTGGAACCATATCATGAACTGTGGTCTTCGAGCAATATTTTCAGTGACCTTGCGTGCGTTGGGACAGAGTCTGAATTTTAAGAATCGATTGGGAGTCATCCCTCTAATTGTTGAAAAGATGCACTACTTCCGTAGTGTGGTCTAGAGGAGGGAATCACTTTCCATAATCTGATAATATGCAGCATCGTTGACGAAGTGAGATGGAAATTTAACCATGAAATCGCTGAGCTGGTAGTTCTTGAAACACAGTCGAGAAATCTTAGTCTTAATTCAAAGCCCAAAGCTTGTGCTCTTTTTATGTCACTTCGTTTTGGCTCATGAATTTTAACACTTTGACTAGCTAGTGAAGATGTTTTTGTTTGACTACTGTAACTCGGAACTAACCTTCTGAAGGGGAGAAATATTATTTTATGTCAGACAACATTCCCTGTCAATGAGTCCTCAGCTCATCTCCTTCACAGTCTCTCCTACTACTAGCACAGCTGAGGGCGTAGATAAACGTATATCTGTTTATCAGACAGATAACGTTTATATGAGTAATGTGATTTCATCCTCGTGTGGAAGGTTAGTTAGACTAATCGCGGAACTAAGTTCATACTATCGTCCAAAATTACTCCTTATGCCTAGTTCTGTGATAACAAGGATAACCGACATTGGTGGAGGTTGTGCCGTGTGAATAGACTTGCGTAGCACTTACCTGTTCACCTCCAGTGTCGTAGGTTCAGGGTGCAGCAAGATTGGATTTTCCATGTCTTTTCCATGATAATGTCACAGTAATAACGCTCAGGGTCGTTTATCCTATTTCCCCAGAAAGCTGGCCTGAGTAATGGAGTTCATTAGTTACTCCATTTTCATGACTGTCTTCAGTTGTTTTTCAGTAATTGCGTCTTCGAGCACTATCTTGAACAACTTTCATGTTTTTGGGGACTTTCGTCATGTACTTGAGTTTGTTTGGCATCCACTCCGGAGATTGTTCGTGTGAAAGTTTTCTTGTACTTCGACCCTGTCGTGCATCCGTTGTATTTGTTAAGGGTCCTCCTCAAGTCACAGTATGTTTTCTGATGAAATGTTTTCATTCCATCCTTACAAGACTCGCTATTGTGCAGAAATAAACTTTATTTTATTGATGCTGCTTAGCACAAGTGAATCAGAGATATCTTGAAGCCGATAGTATCTAACCTGGTTGTGCAACTGAATTTTACTGTATAGGTTCAGGAAGGCAGTCCCAATCGTGAAAGATGGGCCTGCATCCTGTTGAATGGAGGGGACCGAAACTGGAGGGCTTAACACTGGACTTAGGCGACCTCACGCCTTTACCGACAGATCTGGCTATCAACAACGCATTCTACAGCTCTGTTCAGGAGCAGGGTGGAACACATTCTAGACTGGACTTGCTACCTGTGACAGATGGCATTGTCTATCATCTCCAAGGCCATCTGGGAAGAAACTTTCATCCTCATCTCCCAAGCAGCGCTGGCTTTCAAAATCACCATCACGTTCAAGGAGAGTCCAGAGTGGATATGAGAATACGGAGAGATGCTCCTCAGAGTCCTCTCCAAGGTCAATCTGCCAGATCTGAGAACTGCCATGTACTAGGAGGGGACCACATGCCTCTAAGGCACATTCTTCCTGTCCATCCAATTGCTGGGGGTTCTGGTAGGAAGCATGCTCGAGTACAGTCCTCAGGAGACCGGTGGATGCCTGGCAATCACATTCTTCTCCCCCTTCTCCCAGGCATTGCTGGGCCTATGAGAGGCCGTGGGGACCTGGCACAGTTGAAACACGTGAACGTGAAAATAGAGAAGGTAGAGCCGGAGGTTTCGACCCCACTTATCTTACCACGAAGGACCGTATCTTTGCCGACGGATTTAACTCCCTTCGAAGAGTTCGAGGATGTGAAATCACCCCCTAAACCCTTGGCCATGCCTGTAACCATTGACTTGTCTGACACAGAGAGTGATGGATCAGTCATCTGCTGGAAAGGGGATGGAATAGGTGAGCAGGTTGTCAGTAAGGACATAGGTGTTCAAAGTTCTACAACTCCTTATGTTACCGGAGAAAGCTTGCCAGATCGGGAGAATTCTAATCATCCTTCCTGCCACTTAAAAGCAAAGAAAGGCGGAGTTGGGAAATACCCTGCCTGCCCAGTAAACCCTTTGAAACGCAAATGCTCTGTGATAGATCTGGATTCAATCATCGACTTGGAAGCACGGCAGGTGGATTTTCGGGAAGCAGCAGATCTCTCAGGCAGCGAAGAATCTACCATTACCAGGGGTTTTTCAGCCAACGGATCACTGGTGAAGCAGCCAGAGTGTGCAGAGTTACCGATGAGGAAATCCTCCTCACAAGTCGATGGGAACAGCGATTCCCCGTCCCAGCAACTTGGCACGGTCACAGATTTGCGGGAATTGTCAGATCTTCACATAGAAGATCTTGCGAAGGAAAGCGACCAACAGTATGTGTTTGACTTCGCACATGACACCGATGGTGAGGCCCTGGAGGAGTTGATGTTTGATGATGATGAGGAACTTGAGCCCGAATTTCTGCTTGGTGATAACGGAGATATCGACCAGGAATTTGTACTGTCCTCGTTCGATACTCGCTGCGACGGATTGATTCCTAACCCGAAGGACTACCAGGATGAGGTACCCTCCTGGTATATATCGCAGTCAGAAGGGAGTGAAGAGTTGAATCGGCGATCTGCTCCTGTCAACACTGAACAAGAGACTTATTTAGGGGCGGTCCACAGCAAGGTGATTGAGCAGGGAAGAGGGAACGCCATGCAGATGTCACAGGCAACGATTCCTTTTAGAGATACGAATCATCAGTTGGTCCCTCTTAGTGATCGTTGGGGGCAGGCCACTTCCGAGGTAGCTGCGCAGAACCCACAACAGGAGCCATCGCAACCCGCTAGAACTGATCTCAATTTAAGTATTTATTGTGAGACTTTGCCCAATGACACAGCAGACGCTGTACAAGCTCTCTGCAAATTTGTGCAAGCTTCTAATGATAGAGGAGTTTTCCAGCCGCCTCCAACTTCTATCGGTATGACCGCGCAGGTTGCTTCTCAAGATGCTGCGACTTGGACACCGAATTCAGTCGTGGACAGTGTCAGTGTTGCTCCTAGTGTTGCCGAGAGAGATGTAGTTGCTGAGAATGGAGCAGTGACTGTACGCTCCAATGCAAAGAATGACGTCTTGGTTCCAAAACCAGAGCCTGTGGAATTTGACAAGCATGGAGTAACTAATATAACTCCAGCTGAACCTTTAAAGAGAGAATGGCCTGAAAACAATGCTGTGGGACCTGTAGTGGACAGCAGGGACACTGTCATCAACGCCTTAAAAATGTTCGAGCAGGGCAGGGTGCAAATGTTGCAAGAGCAGGTCAATGCAGACCCGAATGGAAAGCGTGTCAGAGCAGATTTGAAGGTGGCTTGTAGCATGAGGAAGGCTGGATTTTGGCAAAACGAGAGCAGACCTATCGGGGAATGTCCGGGTGTGAAAGTCGGAGATTGCTTTACGTATAGGATTGAAATGGCCATTATTGGTCTTCATAGGGCAGTGCAGGCAGGTATCGCCGTGGTGTCTGCTGATTATTGCCGATATCGAAAACCTGTGGCAGGGAGTGTGGTCATTGGTGTCAACGATACTTACAAGGACGATAAGGACATGGGCGAGACTGTTGTGTATAGCGGGCAAGGAGGCTTATGCGCGGACAAGTCTGGCACATACCAAGATCAGAAACTGGTGAGGGGAAATCTGGCTCTTTCAAACAGTTATGAACTAGGCCTTCCCGTTCGACTCATCAGGGGTCACAAAATCCAGGGCACCAGTACTGGGATACTCTACAGCTACGACGGGCTGTACAAGGTGATACACATGAATTATGACGTCGGTGTCCATAAGAACATGGTATACACGTTTCATCTGCAGCGAATACCTGGTCAGCCTCCCATTCATCCTCCAAATGTTGCTTCTTTGTTGTATCCAGCCAACGTTGTGGCCTATCCAATGCCTCTGAACTCCCATGCCAGTCTACCTTCAAGCTCACAGGTTCCTCAAAGCGGAGGACAGGACTGGATAGGAGAAGCTATGAGGTCACAAGGTGTGTCATTTCAGCCTTCGACTTCGCAGACTCCCAATTTCGGAGTTGGGTCTTGGACAGGACACTCTCCGAGTTCACAACCTCCTCAGAGTCAAAATGTGGAGTGGACGAGATCACAACCTCCTCAGAGTCAAAATGTGGAGTGGACGAGTTCGCAACCTCCTCAGAGTCAAAATGTGGAGTGGACGAGTTCGCAACCTCCTCAGAGTCAAAATGTGGAGTGGACGGATGAGTACGAGGAGAAGCCCACGCTCTATTTACTACCGCGTAGTAATCAGCCTTAGTTACATGGAGCAGATGTCATTAACCCTTAGATCTCAGTGTAGGAAACTTGTATATTGAGGCGACCTGGTTGCTTACTCTCACATGCATTTTTGACAGGTCTGGTGGTGTAGGTAGATTTGGGGGGAAACATTAGATCCCTCAACTTCAGATTTGGCGTCTTAGGAGTACTTTTGTAAATCCTTGTGTACAGTCTGCTCTCAAGAGCCATGAATTACTTGCAAGTACCAATCATCCGCTAACTGGACATGAATCAAATCGATATCGAATGTATTCTTTTGAAGTATTTTGGCAATTTTTTGATTGGAAGCTCCGACACTCTGTTCGTGATAACCACTGTTACAATCTAGAATCCCACTTTTGAAGGTGCCAAAGACAGTCAGAACAATACCTACTTATTTCTTCCCTGTCGCCGTCTCTCCTTCATGATTTTTTTCTTGCAGTGATCTTCGCGTACCCTCTCGTTGAGGTCAAGCTTCTAAAACTCTCTGATCCATATATGATCCATATCTGTGTACTCATTTCCTATTAGTCCACTTCTAGTTCATTTCGACTTGTTTTCATCTTCACACTGACAGCAGTAGACGCACATGTTCAAAAGCCTGCTTTTCACTTTGCAATGCATCTGTACTAATTCGACATGCTGAGCCGAGATCACCCTCAGAAGAACAAAGTGCACATCTCCGCTTGGAGAAGACGTTGAACTCATATCACTGACAAATGTGAACCAGGTTTTATATTTTTTAATGTTCTGTTATGGACTGCAGCAAAGTCACGTGTCTAGTCGACCATTGTGCACACAGTAAGTGACAGGTTGACGTTTGGTTCCAGAACCGGCTTCTCTAAATAATATTCTGGACTGGGCACTGAGATTAGAAGCTGCAAACTCTGCCTCAAATATCAACACTGGGTATTGAAACACGCACCGCACGAATTGTTTTTCATCAGATTCCAGACAAAACGCACCCAATAAATATAAATAAAAAAAATGATTATATGTTTGAACTTCTTTTCAATTTTCACGTTGGAGATCGATAAGTTGATCAAAAGCCTGAGCGAAATCATTTACGTAAATAGAAATAATCTGAAGTAATTGGTCAAAATTTAAAGCGCGAAAAGGGAATTACTATTCTCAAGGATCCGATGGCAAGTAAGGCATGAAAACAAGCTAACGAAAGAGCCAATAGACGAACAAGAACAATGGCCTCGTTGCCACGTGGTCGAGGGCAAGAAAGATCTTGCCTCCCATAGGCCAGCTCTTGTACCCTTTATGAAATTTGATATAGTGACAGAAATCCATATACAAGGACATGTCGTCATGCTCCGATCCGATTGGCTCTAAGCAGAGCAGCACCCGAAGATCGTTCGTCGACACGGAGGATCTCGGAGTTGTCCAGCAGTCCGTGGCTGGAGCTGCTTCAAATTCCTGCCCGCTGCTGGCCCTCGTTCGTTCGAGAGTCAAGATGGAATTTGAAACAGATCAAAAAGCGTCACAAGAAGAGGCTGAAGATAAGCTCCTTACTCCAGATAACATTCCCCGGCCCCCCTCGACGACAACGAGAGCAACAGCAGCAGCGAGCATGGAATGTTGTTGCGCAGGCTGATGCCCCAAGGCAATGTGACTGCGGAGCCATTGATGGTCTCGGTGGAAGCAAAAGGGACGTGATTGTAGCAAGGGCGAATGTTTTTGTCTCGGAGTGCAGCTTTGCCGAAATTTCTTCGTTCTGGAAAAGTGGACGACATTTGACCATTCATTCTCTCGTAGTGTTCATAGTGCGGCTTATGGTGTTGTCGCTCATTCGGGAAGGCTAATCTGGAATCGGTTTCGTTGGAGTTTGAATTCGGAAAATTTGGACTGTGCTTCTGGCGTTCGATATACATTTTTTGTATGTTCAGGGGCGTTCTTGTGTTGTTGAGCTTGACAATATAGTGGACATCGGGGTGGAGAGTAGAGGTACGAAGGAATCGAAGGCGTGAACAATCTTTCCATGGTATGCACTTGAGCATTTGCGCAGAGGATTGAACTGCGGTTGCCAGTTCGATTCCAGATTATCTTCCTCTGGGACTGAGGAAATGTCTACGTTCTTGCCCTCCTCCGTGTAAATCTTTCATCGAATTCTGTTGGAATCTGAAGACGCAGGAACAAGTGGCACTGAGGATCTTTGAATGGCCTCGTCGGTGATTCGGGATCGTTTCTTTAGAGCTCATATTGATGTCAGTGTGAGTGGGTGCAATTTCTGTCAAGTGCAACCGAAAAGCGTTCAATTCTCCAAATCCAGGAAAAGTTCAAACTACTTCGCATTCGGCTTCAGCTCGGTGTTCTCTAGCTCCGCCCAAAACTCCTCCAGTTGGCTGCAACTGCGGGCTCCTAATCCAATTCATTCAGGGCCGGCATTCAAAGTATATTGTGTGGTTACTGATAAGATAGTGGGCGGAGCTCAGCTCACAGCGAGTAGTGACCCGAATCTGCGCCGTCTTATTCTCTTGCGCCATGCCAAGAGCTCTTGGTCTGATCGCTCCATAAAAGGTATGAATTTTCTTCATTCAGATGGACACAATGTTTGCACAGATCTCCCACGACTCTTCGTTTGCTGTTCTTATTTCTTTAGCTGGAGCTTATTTGGGTGTCACATATCGCCTATGAAGGTGGTACATATTCCTTCTTAAAAACGTCACTGCAGATAGCTAGCTCCGGATAAGGGTTCTGCGTACAGGCTTCTAAAACAATGCTGGATACTACATGTTTGTGCTTGTACTGCCTGTTTGTTCAATTGGAACCACTTGTTGTGATTTCTAAGAATACAGAAAAGTACCAACAAACTCTCATCGTTCTTTTCCCTAGTAGCAGGGTTGTAGCATCATGGTTCAGTTTGTGGAAGCTAGCATCAGCAGGTGGAATTAGAAGCTATGAACGAATTTAGCTCTCCATGTCATTACCCACCAAGCTCTGCATTTCTGATGGCTTCTCTGATTATTATTGTAATCTCAGATCATGAGCGACCTTTGAGCAAACGTGGACGTCAGGCTGCAGCTAATATTGCAAAGAAGCTACAAAAGCATCCTGGTTGGATACCACAACTCATTCTCTGCAGGTAATCTTGTCACAATCTAACAACTGGTTCGCATATAACATGTTTCCAATGTGTATACAGAGGTTTAAGCAGTATATAAGTTGAACGAGGCCATCTTAAACTGGACTGTGACAAGTTTTCGTAGGCATTGTTGAAGAGGATTATATTGATGGAGACATGCGTGACAAAAGTCCAGTTTGATCAAATTTGGAGAGGACATCTTGGATATATGGATAGGGAACTTAATTCACAACTGTACATGTTTGTGGAGATTAATAGCAGTCATACGTCTTGATCCAAAGAGTAAAGAAGAGCCCAATCTTGAACCAGCAAATCTTCGCTTCTCCTGCAGTGATTCAACTCGAACTCGGGAGACTCTGGACATTATGCAACAGCAGGTACCGGAATTGCTAGACGCAGATGTCCGCTTTCTCAGTAGTTTTTACTCCGTAGCAGCTATGGACGGTGAAACCCTTCAGCATTTGCAGGAGATAATCTGCAAGTATTCGAAAGATGATGTCACCACAATCACGTAAGTAAGAAATATGGCTAAGCTTTCAGACGGCTTAAAGAGATTCTGTCTCTTGTTAATTATTGTCCAAGGCTTTGAGAGCTGATCCCTCATACGTTTTCCAATGAATGATTCACTTAGCAGATGATGTTCACACCCTTTACAGGTGCATGGGCCATAACAGAGGATGGGAAGAAGCTGCTACATTGCTCTCAGGAGTGCACATAGAGCTGAAAACCGCAAATGCTGCTCTTCTTGAAGCTCATGGTAGCTCTTGGCAAGAAGTAAGTTTTTCATCCTTGAGCAGCATTGTCCTCATGACGTTTTGTTAACTGATTGGACTCCATATTTATGTTAGTAAACCGTGCCAGTTGATGAAGAGAAGTCGTGAGCACGTGTAGGACTAATGAGGAGGTCATAAGGCAAAGTCATGGAATCTGTCCTGATTAACCTCCTGCTTGTGTGCAGGCCTTTGAATCCGCCGGAGTGGGTGGTTGGAAGCTTTTTGGCATCGTGAAGCCGGATGCCAGTGTGGAAAATGTAGCTCAGTGAGTGCTTGGGACTTCGTTCGTGTCTAATTCTCTTACAACCATGGTCCAGTCGAACCTGAACATATATCTGGGCGTTCTCCCCTAGCAAGATCTTTCAAGGATGCGAAGGTTTTGCAGAAATGGAGTTGCCCGTATACAGCTTGCCAACAATTACTTGGTGACACATGTGGTCCAAAGGTTCTTCCCAACACAGTTTACAATCTCTACTTCTAAGGCGATAGTGATTGTAACTTGCTTCAAGCAAGCTTTCACCAATGCTTGTCTGTGCAAATTTTCTTGGTGTAGATTGGCCGGTGCCTTCCGGAGAGAACAGAAAGGTACTCTGATATCCGAAGTCCTGATGGCAAAGCTGCAAGCTCTGAATGTATATCTTAATATGTTCGCCTAGTCAGTTCAGGCAAACGGCAGCCTACTAAGAGCTATTGATGAACAGATTAAAAGTGAATTACCCATTCACATTAGATCATGCAACGATTCTGCTGATCCAATTTCCATTCAAAAGACTGCCTGTCTTGTCTATGCAGAATGTGTGATGTGAGTCATGTCACCAACCGCTATGCACACGTGCATTTGTGCACACACACACAAGCAGAGGGCTGGTACACCTCAACTCCACTCGCAACAGGGAACTTGGTATTTGTAAACGAACATGAGCATAAGCTGCCGCATTCATAGAATCCCGGAAATTTTCTGGAAACATGTGGCATTTCAAGCAGTGACGAAGCGAGTCGTCTTGCTTGACACAACACCCAAGCGATGCGCCGTAAGCCTGTCAGGCAGTGTGAACTTGTGATCCAAATGTGTGACCACATTACCGGGGCGGCAGTGGCAACCTTCATGGAGTATTACGAGTAGTCAGCTAGCCAATCCGAGTCAAATAGAGTTACGGCCCTCCAATTTTTCTGGTCGTCTACAACACAGTTTTGCAGGATTTACACGTCTGTGACTTGCAGGTGATGATTGAAGTGTCACTTGATTCTCAAGCAGCGACACTATGAGAGCTTAGTCCATGCGGCAATTCACACAGCATTCCACTGATATAGACAACTCGCACCATCATCTCAATGCATGAGGTTCCTTCCATGTCATGAGATGGTCGGGAAGGATGGCGATTCCGCCATACTGCCCGAACATGATGGCGAAAAAGATCAATCTTTGAAGTCTGAATTGTAATTTATTTACATTTGAAAGGGAGCTGATTGATATGAATTTGCATTTCTTGCTGTCGTTTCGCTATCACGTGGCAGTGGAGCAGAGACAGCAGTCAAAGGGCCAGAAACCCACAGGCCAGAGTGCATGGTCGTGTGAGGCCGGGATCAACTCCAACATTTCTGTACTGTTCTCAATCCATTATCCCACGGGAGAGATCTCGTACTCCAACCATGACATAAGGTCATCAAAATAATTACGACTCAATGATCAACTGAGACATCAGATTGTGAAACCCTGGTTAGTCTTGTGAGAGTAGATGACCATTTTGAGATGTACGAGTATGCAATAGCTGCAGGGAAATCAACGGTATCTTTGTTCACGATGTACTAACTTTGAAAAGGCTAATTCATGCCCCAACTGTTCCAGTGTAGTTGAATGCAAGAGCTTTGTTGTACCACTAACGATACATGTCCATGTACATCATTTTTGTTGCAATAAACAGACGTCCCTTCTTATGTAACGGCACCATCGATAAGTTGGATGCTAAAGACAATAAATAGCACAGATAGCACAGAATCAGTAAGTACAGCTGGTACTGAATGCATCCTTGGGCTTGACAGAGGAAGGCAAAAAATCCTGGGGTCTAGGGATAGAGTTCAATGAGTGCTCAATGCACTTTCCATTCTCTAGTGGTGGGTATTGGAGATGAGAGGCTATAGGGATTGTGTTGAGACAAATTTTTTTTCTGAGTGCTTGTATTAGTTTACGCAAGATGCTTGAAATGTCCTAGATTCAGGTACTATTCTGTTTTATGAAAGTACGTGTTTTGTAATGTGGGCTAGCAAAGTATGGTGCGGTTGAACAGCCATGAGCACAAGACAAATATTCATATTTCTAATGTGGTTCTCCTCTTCTACATGGCTATGCAACATGTGCAATTCGTAGGCTGCATTATTATATGACCTCATTTCATCAATATATGCTTGTGAAAAAACTTAGAGGAACAAGATAATATCACTCCCATGCGCACAATTTGTTTGGATGTGGATCTTAAAGGAGGCAAGGGAAATGAAAAGTTAGGAGGCAACAACTAGATTTTTCGCACATTGCAGGGCTATGCTTTGCCCAACTCTTCAATCTGAAAAACGGACTAAGCTTTTTTTCCAAATATTTGATACCTAATACATACACCATGTCTAATTGTACATAGATATCACATTAAAGTTGTTACTTCTAATATTATGGATGAATTTTCTCAAAATTGAATTGGCAGATAACGTCAAAGGGGGCTTTTTCCCATGTTCTTCCTCTCTCTGCCTTGCTTCTACCTCGTTGAAAACTGATCGAAACATGAGTAGAAAGTCATGAGTGTTTTTAGTTCAATGATTTGATAGCCAACATTTTCTCATGTGAGTTTAGTATTCAAAGAGCTGTGGTTTTGTAAATGAGATATATGATGAAGTTATTGTGTACTTATCACAATCTTAGCTATAGCTTCATTTACCTTCATTCGTTGCATGTAGTAGTTTATGAACAGTGGTGTGAGTTGTGTTATTGGCTATTAATAATCACTTGATATGGACAATTAAGAGTTGAATCACATTTACATTTTTCACTTTTACGAAAAACATAAAGTACATAAACTTTTTTGTTAATCGTTTCATGTTTGAGTGATTAGACTATGAAATCTATACTATTCTATGTTTAATATAGATGGTAGATTTCTTGAGATTGATTCTTCCTCTTCAAATTTATTCATAGATTTCTTTTTATCCAAAGCTAGAAATTTTTTATTGGTTTTATTTTTACTTCTTGCAGTCCATCGAATGACATTGTGGAATTTTTTGTTTCATCTGTTATACTAGGGAGACATGTTGGACATTCCCCCGGACATGTTGGCTAATGTGAGTGTATCCAATATGTAAATAGATCTAATCATGACTAAATGGCTTAATTGTAAGGTTAGTTAGAAAAAAACAATTGAATCTTTTATAAGATTATTAACAATTTTCATTGTCTGAAAATTATGACATATTCAGATGCCAAAATGCTTCTTTCCTAATCAAATGTATGAGAAATCTACTTATAAACTTAAAATCAATCGACGTACATGACATTCTATGATATTCGAAAATCATATTTTATGATATAATGTAATTTAGTAAAGTTATATGTGGATTCTATTTTGGTGAAATGTGATGAAAAAAATTCTAAGATGATGATTATTTGTGCTCATTATGATAGAATTTGATACTTTAAAAGACGTTAAATCGATTTTGTTTTGAAGAATGTATTATGAAATCCTTGTATATTTGTGATTTTGAAGAAATAAAGTTAATGAAAATTTTGATTACAAATTTCATTCACAAAAATGATAAATTTTATTTTCAGAATCGGATTTACAGAGTTTGAAAGAATAGATTATGGAAGAGTATGAATAAAATATTTGATGCACAAATGATAATATTATGCTGTTTTTCAATTCTAATACTTCAAAACTCTGTTGGAAATAAAAGTCATTTAAATAATTTTCCGCATTTTTTAGTTCACAAATACAAACACATAATACTATTTATTTGATTCATTAAAAATATGTAGTCTATTGGAAGATGGTGGAAAATATAGTAATTTTTTGGAAGATTTCATCTTTTATCCATAACTGATTTGATTGAGAAACCTCATTCCAAAAATCTTAGTAAGAAGATTATGATGATTTATGAAGTATGAATCAAATTATGATTTTTTAATTATGTTTTATGCGCAATACAAATATCTTCCTTAAAGAATATAATATAATATGAATGATTTCAAATTTACATTTAAATGAGTATATATATATATATATATATTTATTGCACCATCGATGATTAAATTTTTTGATAAGTAATATAAAATAATAATCTTAGATAAAAATTTAAAAATATAATTTTTTAAAGGATTACACATTATTGCTTCATACCGTTAAATAAATTTAGATAATTTTGAATGAAACTGAATGTAATTTTTATTTTAACAAGTTATTGAGTTATATGGGTTGATTTATTTATTAAAAGATATTTTTTTCATATATTTTATGAATTATTCTTAATAAATTTCGATTTCTTGATTTATATTTATGAAAAATAACTAGATAATAGTAATAATAATAATAATTTATTAAATAATTGTATATATTTTTAAAACATTATATAATAATAATAGATAATAAAATAATTTATTACATAATTGGTTGAATGCTTTACTACTTAAATATAATATACACATAGAACTCATATCGTATTTATTGCACAATTTGACAATCAAAGATCATCATAATGACTATCAAATGTTTTTTGAGAAATTTGAGATGATATGTTTCAACTTCAATGAAATAATGTTTTCATTTTTTTAAAATCATATTTACTATTTATATATACAAAACATGAAAATATAGATATTGATTTTTTTTTTGCATTATGTATATCATTTTTTTAGAAGATTAGTGAGCTGCATCTGATATCATATTTTGTTATATGTATAAAAATTTATTAATTTTATTTCTCCAATTTTTAACAAGATGAATAAATATCATGATTGATATATCTTGATGAACTGATGATCAATTTTTGACAAGAGCATAAAAGAGTAAAATAAATTGGATACAAAATTGAATTTAAATTTTGCTACAAAGTATCACAAAGGTCATAATACATCCATCCTTAGTGTATCAAACAAACATATTATTCGTATATACTATTGTTCAATAGAAAAAGTAGACTTTTGTTCCATGATTTGACTGTGTATCAATTTATGTGCACCCAAGTCAAGTATGAAGTTTTTCCTTGGATTGCTTGTAACATAAAAATCTCTAGTTGTGAATGAAAATCAATCTTGGATGTAGCTCATATTCATATGAATTTTTGGGTATTTTAGTTCAAATGATAGCTGCCTAATTTGGATTTCATATGAGCTATGATATCATAAAACAAGATGTGTACTCACTTAGAATGAAAATTAATATTATTTGAAGATACACACACAGTTCAAATGATCAAATAATTGTTGCGAATGTTTTGGTTACAAAGTTTTGAAGCACATTTATTTTTTCTGGCTAATGTAGCATCGTTATATAATATTTTCAAAGAACTTGATATGCAGGGAATCTTCAAATTCATACGTACCCAGAGAACTAAAATATTTGTTATTCTAGGTTTGGAGTTATATGAAAACATTAACATGAACTTGACGTGCATGTGAAAAACTATCCAAGAGTCTAATCTACTAGAAATATGGAGTATTACACTATTTCTCTTTGGACTATTTTAATCAACACCTTTCCAAAGCTTAAAAAAATTAACAAAATGACAATAATATGCATAACAACAATCACATGTACAGTTAGTGACAAGCTCCATGCTCCAGATTTGAATTTATCCTTGTGTTGCTTAATGGGTTCTCCTCTCCCTTCATCATAATTTATTCTACTTCGAGATGAATGAACATGCCAAGAAAAGAGCTGGAAATACAAGTTGAATGTCATTACGATATCATGACTCGTTGATGTGGCAGCAAGCACAGCAGCAGCAAGTTCATACTGAAGCTCGTTAAACGACCCTTGATTTGGGGGTTGTTGAGCCTTGGGAATTGCTAAAAGCTGCGAATCTCCAAGCAGGGAGGTGGTGCTATAGATTATGCTCTGCTATGGTAGTTGAGTCATGGTTGTTGCTCGAGATGCTATTTGCTAGACCAGAATGAGCTGCAGCCCTTCCATCTCCTTGGGAGCTCGAGCAACAATTCCACCACTACAGTCAACAGTGTCCATGTCTGCTATGCTGCTGCTGCTGCTTCTGCTTTTTGGCTGGTTTGTTTGTAGACCCAAATGCCATGTGCCCAGAGATTCTGTCTCAGTGAGTTTCAGGATTTGAGATAGGGTACAATGGAGATTCTGGATTTGGCTGAGCCAAATCTGTCGAGAGGATTCCAGCAGGGCCTGGCGTGGTTGGCGTGGTCTTCCATGTATTCCAGAAAACTGCGAGTCGATCGTGTTGGAAAAGGGTTCTGCAATTCGGATGTGATCTGCTTGCCTGCAGGACTCATGTGAGCTAGCGTCATCTACATGCCACACTCTCTCAATGCATCAGGCCACTGTCAGACGCTCTATCGTCTCGCATGGAAGTCAAATTCGCAGTCTAAGGCTACAGCTGTTTGTCATCATCCATCGGATCTGGCTTCTCTCATTCCTCATGTCTCAACGTCGTCAGACTTTGCCTTTTGGCTCCACTTTCAGTAGTGGAAGCAAGACCGAATCGAGAATTCACAGTCAAAGCATTTTATTTGCAGCATTCACATTCAACTTGATATCATGAAAAGTGAGAGAGAGAGAGAAAAGTGACACGTCTAGATTGCCAAGGCACGCTTTGATGAGCCCACAAGGATGCACAATGAATGATTCTCAATGTATGCATCCCAAGCTTTACGACTCGTAATTCGAACCGTATGCAGCCAAAGCTTTATGAGTCCTAGACGTATGGCATGCACCAGTGGAGTAGGGAGGGGCATGGTTTCGTCTCCAATGAAAACTTGATCCTCTTTGTTAGCAAGTTTAATTTATTGCGGATTGGAGGTGAAAAAAACGAGGTGTCACTGTGCACTGTACCGTCGTCAGGGAGAGCAGTGAGAGCAGTGGAAGCAGTGGAAGCGAGGGTACAGAATCTTTGTTGACTGACAAATGAGAGTTGAGTAAGAAAAGGCATAAAAGGGCTGGTTTGGACTCTTGGACGAGAATGTTTAACAAAGTCCTCTGGTCTCGAGCCCAGAGAGCAGAGCAGAGTCGGACAATGTCATGTCTGTCCGTCCGTCCCATCATGAGCGACTGGACTGGCTCGTCTAGCCATAGATCATTAGATCCATAGATCCATAGATCCATAGATGCAGCCAGCGAGGGTGTGATGTCGTCCATGATCTGGACCGGATTCCAATCGTGGCGCTAGAGAGAAATATCAGCGCAGATGTGAAACAGGTGCAATTCGTTATTGGTTAATGTTGGTGGTGGTGGTGGTGGTACTTTGAAGATGGAGCAAAATGAGCATGGAGTGCGCCAGCTATTCCTGGCCTGGAGCAAATCAGACGTCACCGATGGGCAGCAGCAATAGCAATAGCAATAGCAATGGCAGCAGTGGATGCGAGAGACAATCTCAGCAGCTGCAACATGCACGAAGATGGTGCACGGAGGGAGAGAGCGGGTCCATATGACGTGCAGGCTCATGATCGTGATCCAGGACATCCATGCAGCGACAACGACGCCTCAGTGGTCCTCGGTGTAGATAATAGATGCCGCAAAAGGATGCAGCTGCTGCAGCTGCTGCTGCTGCTCGAGTATTTTAATCTGATCTGATCCCAAAATTGGCACCACCGAGGGATGGAGCGAATTGGAGCTAGCAAGCAAGCTCGCATACAAAGCTGGCGCATGCATTTCGTGCCACGCTGCCTCTCTCTCAGCCACGAGCCATCATCATCCATCTGGAGAACCTCCTCGGCCAGTGGAGGACGTATGCCAAAAGGTGGATGCCATCGATCGAACTCGATGACACGCCGTCTATGCTTCCGAGTGCCCCCCCCCCCCAGGTACTGTGATCATGCACTGTCTCCGCCATGTGCCCGTCCGGCATGCAATGACGCCATCACGAGGCATCAGGAGATATAATGCACCACTGCCCGAATTCAATCGAATTGAATTGAATTGAATTGAATTGAATTGAATTGCCCGAGTATTGGAAGCCACAGGTTCAGAGCATTCATGAAGACGTGAATGGACCTGCGAGCCATTGAGTGTGAACAAATTCGCTCGTGGAGAAGAAGGAGAAGAAGAAGAAGAAGAAGAGGCACTGAGACAGAGAAATCATCCGATCGGGTCTAGACTGCATCAGAGCACGGGGTCGAGGAACTCGCAATGGTGACATAATATGCAGAGTCTGATGATGACATGGTGATAAGATTGCTAAGGATGCAGCAAACCGAAGACCTGAAGTCTTACAGGATGAATGTCAGAATCGTCAGCCATCAATCAAAATGTTACGGAGCCAGATTCGGAGCCAGATGACACTCGGTGATGATGATTTTGAGTTCTGAAAGATTCCTTATAAAAAGTTGGGAATTCCAGCTTTGCGCAGTGCTCTCACGGAGCCTGCTTAAATTTATACATTAAGCCAGCCTGCCTGCCTGCTCGCTCGCTCGCTGTTTCTCGAGCTAAGCTCGTGATTCTGCGTGCGGCTTCACAAGAGTACAATCCTATCAAAGCAGTCGGTCACTCAGCGCCTGATTTTCGCGCTGAGATTCAAGAGACCATAATTTTGTTGTTGTCAAACTCGAGCGCACAATTAAACGAACGATCCGATTTCTTCTGTCACGTGTCACTCAGACAGAGTCATGCCATGCCGCCCGCCAGAGAGCTATGGCAAAGTGCATCCGATGGCATACTCGAATGGCTCGGGTGCTCGAATTTGGGCAGTGCAGGGAATGTGGAGACAAATCCCCCGAGAACGATCGCCGACCGATCGGGCACTCGTGAAACCGACTGTGAGTGAGATTTCACGTTTGGGTGTACCGAGTCCACCGAGGTCGAGCAAGATGCAGACAGCACCGAATTCTCGTAAATCATGGTCCACCACAACTCCTCCTGGACAAAGAGGACTGTCTAGCAGGCTCAATTTTACACGGTTTCGACTCGTGCCACCATTGCCTTGAGGCCACGAACCGCTCGCCCCTACAATGTCGCCCTGCCTGCCTGAATCTGCGTGCCCATATCTGTCTGTCTGTCTGTTCGTATGTCGATGTCCATGACCTTCTGAGGCGACACATTGTGGGTTCCAAGGCATCGCTGAAGCACGCTTGTTCAAGTAGTAGTAACTTCGTAAGTTCCTGCACAAAGGTCGCGAGGGAGAGCAAGAGAATCGAAAGGAGTGAAATTGGAAGAAGAGCAAGGGAATGCAAGCAAGCATTTCAAGCATTTCAAGGATTTCAAGGATTTTAAGGGATTCATGGAATTCATGGAATTCAAGGGGAGGGAAGGTGAGCTGGGGACCTTCCTTGGTTTCATATGGAGATGCTGGGGAGTGATGGCAATGAGAAGTAGAAGAGGATGGGAGAAGGGGAGGGGAGCTCGCGAGAGCAGGCGAGGCGAGGGAATTCACGAAGTGGTGGTGGTGGGGGAGGTGTGCTTGCTGCTGGCGGGTTTGCCCAAGGGCTTGGACTTGGACTTGGCGGCCGACGATTTGCAGTTGGCCGAGGCGAGGCGAGCGAAGACAGTGGGAGCTCGCGAGACGTGCGGGTGCGCGAGATCGTTCGACAGATCGTTGAAGAACTGCTGAATTATGTCCTGGTACAAGGTGTTGAGGCGGAAGTAGCCCTGCAGAAACTCCTCCAGATCCACCAGGTCGTTCACGTCGTTCTCCAGAATTATGTCCACGATCGCCTCCTGGAAATCCTTCTGCGTGTTCACCTGTCGAGCAGCAGCAGCAGGGGCTTGCAATTGCTGAATCTGAGATGGAGGCTGCGGCTGGTAGTGATGCTGCTGGTGATGGTGATGGTGATGGTGATGGTGATGAGGAGTGGTGGGAATCGACGACACGCTTCGCCTCGGCAGATCGGTGAAATCCGCCATGCTCGATGCGATCGAGGGCGGGCGCTGCGAGAAGGAGTGCACGCTGCTGGGCTTCTTGTGGTGCTGGATTCCATGATGCTGCTGCAATTGCTGCTGTTGCTGTTGCTGCTGGTGATGGTGGTGGTGGTGGAGGAAATCTCTGCGCGGAGCTCCGCCGCCCAGAGGCAGCGGCCCACTGAAGCTTCTCTGGCTGGGCGTGCAGCTCGGCACATCGACCACCGAGCTCGCCTTCTCGCTGGGCGTCCAGCTCGACAAGCTCTCGGTCATCAGATCGTAATTCTCCAGCCACCCCGCCGTGGAGATCGATCTGCACGGAGTGCACGAGCCCGTGTCCATGGTCAGCACTGCGCTCACGCTCAGATTCTCAGGGCTCGATCTCCGCCCCCTCCCTCCCCCTCCCCCTCCCGCAGCTCTCACTCGCGCCGCCAGAGAAGCAGCATCACTGCCAAGCGCCAGGCCATTCGCTCCTCCTGCTGCAGCTCCAATGGCGGAGGTGGAAGAATTCTTCACCTCGCGGATGACAGTGGCTCGTTTGCGCCGCTGGTGCTTGGCGATCTGGTAGGGAGAATGGCGGGGGTCGCCGGCGCAAGAGGTTTCGGGGGTGGGAGGGTAGAAGAAGGAGCCGGACGAGCGGCGGCTCGGGGAAGCGCCGGTGCTAGCGATGTCGGAGTCCTCGGTGGTGGACAGCAGCGCGTTCTCGAGGTCGAAATCGATGGTGGTCGGGATGAGCTCGTTCATGCTCGAGGAGGGCGAGAGCGCCGCCTCGCGCCGCTCGAACGACGAATTGATGAGGCTCTTCATTTTCGCGAACGAGTCCTTGGCTTTGAATCGAGGCTTCTCAGAGTTGCAGTAGAGCGCGCTGAAGCTCTTGAACATCCATCGACTTTTGTCCGCCGAGGCGCCATTGCTTTTGCTTTTGCTCTTGCTCTTGCTCTTGCTGCTGCTTCTGCGTCTGCTGCTGGATGGATGCTGGTGCAGCAGCTGCTGCTGATTGTGCTGATGGTGGTGCTGATGCTGATGCTGATGCTGGAGATGGGGGTTGTGATTTCTCGAGGTTGCGGCGGCCGCAGCGCGGGCCGAAGCACGCTGCAGGTTCAGGGAGCGCGCCAGATCGGCCTGGGACTGCTTGTATTTGTGGTGCTTGGCCTTGGCGAAGGACAGACAGCGCCAGCTCCCGCGCAGATCTCTGAACACATGCTTCATGTACCAGGTTGGCACTACGACTTGCTGCGAGATTAGATTCCACGACTTGTCCGGGCACATCGTTTATCTTGTTGCTGCTGCTGCTGCTCTGCTGCTGCCACACTCCCCGCACGAGCCCGAGCTGCTGCAGCTCCAGCGCTGCTGTGCATGGTGCTCGCGTCCTGGCCTAAGTTGACACCAACAGATGTCGGTGCTGGTGCTGGTGCTGGTGGATCCTCATTGTCATTGTCATCATCCTCCTCCTCATCGCCATCGTCGGCATCATCCGAGGCTGCAGCCAGCGTCGCTGCTGCTGCTGCTGCTGCTGCTGCTGGCCGACTTCACGAGATCGAAGGGGAAGCGGCGGGCGTGCGTGCGGGCCTCAGCTGAAATTTGGTGTGACCTCTGCGATTAACCAAAAGGGCTGTTTCTGCTGCTGCTGCTGCTGCTGATGCTCGCGAGTACTGACAGATCAGGAGTCGGCTGCGCAGTGCTGGATGGGAAGATGAATTTCGCAGCGCGGGGTAGAAGTTTCCGAGAAGACCAGGCCCTCGCGCCGAATCGGCGCAGCAGAACACGGGGGCTCTCGATCGACCAGCTAGCGAGCGAAAATCGCAGCTCGTCGCGGCCTCAGGAACACGACGCCCGGGCATGAATGACATGAATGACACGACCCTTCGTCCCTCGGCTCACGCAGCTCGCTCCTGCTGCTGCTCCTGCTGCTCCTGCTGTGCTGCGCTCTGTGGGGCCGCCCGCCGGCTGCACGATGCGCCCATGCCCATGCCCCCTCCCTAAGCCCCGCCGCCTCCACGGCACGCCATGCCCTGCCCCTCCGGCGCTTGCAAGTTCCTCGGCCCTTTAGCCATAAGCACCAGCGGGGGGCTATCTCTGCCCCTGCCCCCTCCCCCCTCCCTGCCCCGCCACTACCCCCCTACAAAAGTAACGTTGTGCTCCTCAAGGAATCAGTCAATGAATGAATGAACTCAATGCTTGAGTGAGTGAGTGAGTGAGTGAATGAATTCAATGAATGAATGAATGAATGAACATGAGTCAGTCAATCGCACATTACAATAAACTCTCTCTCTCTTCAAGGGCCAGTAGAAATTCCCTTGGAGTGCTGGCTGCTTGCTTGCCTTCCCTTGGCTTGCTGCTGGATTCAGTTCCTGCACCACGCGAAAGCGAGCATTCGAATGATCGATGGGGCTAATTGATCATCATCATCATCACCATCATCCACCACCACCAGGGAGCCAGAGGAGGGAGGGAGGGAGGTAGGGAGGGAGAGAGGCAGGGAGGGAGGACTCGCAGCAGCGAGCTCGTAATTCTCTCTGATGCACAAGCACCCTGAACTTAATTCCAAAAGGTGGATAGATTTGGTGCAGCACTAAAGGCGGCTACGTTTGTGCAGAATATGTGCGTGTTTATAATATTAGAGAGATACGGCCATTTCCTGCACTGTGAATGTCAGTGAGTCGGGCGGGCAGTCGGTTTGTTGTTTGGAAGGCAGAAATGTTCGAGCCCCGGGTTACATGTTCTCTCTGGAACGCGAGCAGCAAATCAGTCCAAAACAGGCCAGCTCGTCCGACATCATGCTGCCCAAGCGACCATCCGCATACTATTCCCATTTGACCTCCATAATGGCGGCGAGCAGCGACAATGATTGACGCGCAAGGCTCTGCAGAGTTTGCTAAATCCTCCCTCCCGGTCCCATGACTGCTGCCCCCCTCCCCCCTCCCCCCTCCCCCCTCCCCCCTCTGCCCCTCAATCTCAATCTCAATCTCAATCTGATCACTCCGTCCGATCAAACAAACACGACAGCAGCAGCAGCAGCAGCAGCAGCAGCAGCAGCAGCATCGGCATCATCAGCTCCTTCGTCATCCTGCGAGGAGCTGCACCTGCCGTGAGCATATCTTCAGATCCCAAAATAGGCTGCAATTCATGCGCAGTCAAAGCGCCAGATCGAGTCGCTCGCTCCGACTTTATCCTCGGAGGCGTCCTGGAGCAGTATGAGGAGGAGCACGAGCACGAGCACGAGCACGAGCTTGAGCTGAGGTGAGGTAGTTGATTTTGGAGAGATGAAGAAGAGATCGGAATTGGGCATGTCCATCCATCGCAGCAGACAAATTGACTTTGGCTCCGCTGCTATTATTGGATTTTGTGGTCGAAGGATTTCGCGTTCTACTGTTCGGGGTCTGGTCGGATTTATCGGTTCCTCTGGGAAGACCTGCGAAGATCTGCCCCCGCTCTCGATGGAATGCTGGACATGGAATGCGTTCCTATTTTCTACGTGAATGCTTTTCTCGTCGCTCACAGTCGCTGATCTGTCGATTCGCAGCTCGAATTGATTTCCGAGTTCGGTGGATCTCCTCGTCCTTTGCGTTGGCACATCCATATCAGCAGCTCTCGTGTGCCCAGTGACATCCCATCCACATCCACATCCACAACCACCGATCCCAACATTCACGTGAAGGAATTTTCCGTGTCAGCTGTTGCAGCTTCAGATTCGGCCTGCACCTTTTTCAGTCTGCCCCTGATTCTTTACGTGAACTCGTGGGTCACCATGTCCGCCACTCGGTGGCGGTGGTGGTTGCGTGCCGAGCGACGTCATTCCTCGTCGCCACTGCTGCAACTCCTTTCGATGATCGCTTCTTTCGTCCTCGAATTTCTCTCATGCCACAGCCTCGATTGTTTGGTCGGTCTAGATTCCTTCTCCACTTCCTGTCGCCTGGCGGCCTTCACAGCTCCATGGCCGTCAGTTCGATTCTCACTGTGGCTGCTGAGAATTTTGCCTTGCCGTGTCGAATATTCTCAGACATTCATCGACGATATGCCCGACGAATTGATCGCATGACTCGCCCCCAGGGCTCAGATCGGTCCCTTCGGTTATGGGAATGTCAGATTCGCGTGTCCAGCCAGGATCAGTCGAATTGGATTGCTGCTCAGTATGAGAGCGAGAGAAAGAATGTCTTGGCTCTTTGACACGAACCTTTCCCTCTGTGTGATGCAGGTGCCGCCAGTCTGCGCCCAGCAAGTCAGTCGATTCAGCAGCAGCCACCCCAACGACGAATCGAATTGTAATCTCCATTTCCCCTCTTCTCTTGGAGATCCATCATTTTCGAATTTGTTGGCAGTGATTAGAAGCAGCTGCGAGCTGCTCTCCAGAATTACGGTTATCATTGATCAGTCAGTCACTCTGAAGCTTAAGAATTAGTGGCCCCGAGGTTTTAGCCCGAGGTCGATCGAGTCAATGAATGTGATGAAATTCGATGTGATCTGCCTCAGAAGGTCATCGGCAAGTCCTTTCGTGTCAATGGAGGTGAGCCCGTGAGAAGAAGGGCAAGTCGGCAAACGAGCATCTGTCAGAGCTGGTGAAGCAAGCGTAGGCAGGCAGGCTCGGATTGGCGCTATGGTGGATGTAGAGGACGAGGGGTTGCCTGCGTCCGACACCCCCCAAGACGAGGACGACGAGGAGTTGAACTATGAGGAGCTCGAGGAAGCAGACCGCCAGCGATCCATTCAGGAACGAATCGAGTGGAAGAGAAAAGTACGTAATCCATCAATCTGAACTCTTCTTCTTCAAACGCACGGGATTGCATAGAATCAAATCGGGCTGATTTGAATGAATGGGTAAACCAATCTACGCTCAGCAGCCCCCGGTATTATTCCCCAACCAGATCCTCGACCGACTCTCGTTGGCGTCTACGCGAATCGAACCTGACTCGAAATTGCGCTTTGTCCTCTTCTTCCCTCGTATGGAAGCGAATCGATCCAGTGAGCTCGCAATTTGTTTTATGAGTGAGGAGTTTGAGAGATTTGAGATTTCTTTGGAGCGTATCCGGATGACTACATTCGCTCGTGGAAATTCTAGCCATGGATCAGCGGTTAGTCCGTAGACAAGGGAAATGTGTAGCTCCGATTCGAGACGAAGTGATGAATGTCAAATGAGGGCCATGAGCGGAACCACGAGCGGAAGCTGCGTAAGTGACAGACGAGAGAAGGAATGAATCGAGCGTGGATCGGTCGAGGACGATGTTGGGGCGAGAGTGCTAACGCCGGGGCCTGGCATGGAACATACAGGAGCGGGAGAAGCAGATCATGAAGTCGCCGCGGGAAGCGCTGAAGAAAGCGATCCGCGCGAAGCACAAGTGGGAGGAGAAGGTGGGCGACGAGAGCGTGGCCAAGCGCTACAAGGCCGAGGCGGAGCAGCAGGGAGTGCCCGGCGACGTCGTGGACCTCGTTCTGCAGCAGCTGCGCGAAGAAGCGCGCTACATTCTCGTGGGCAAGTCGGACGGCGCTTCGTCGTCCTCGTCCGCAGCGAAGCCCCCTGCAGCAGCGCCAACCCCAGCCCCAGCCGCAGCCGCAGCCCCGACTTCCGAGGTCGTGGATCTGGAGAAGCTCCGCGAAGAGGTAGCCGCCGTGCAAGCCCTGCTGGAGGAGGGGGGCGAGAGCGCGGGGCTGAAGCAGCCGCTGGACGAGAGGGGGACGGGGGTGTGGGCGGTGGACGGGGTGGTTCCCCGGGGGCTGCGGGAGCTGCTGGAGAGCCGGCTGGACGCCATCGCGGGCCGGGCCAAGAAGGATTTTCACCCGGGCACGAACGACCAGGTGCAGGACCTGATCCACCCGTCGCTCTTCCCGTACATCGAGGGGGTAAGCCAGGTGGCGTGCCCGGAGGCCGACCTGCCGGCGAAGGTCGAGGCCAGCTACTGGTCGCGCCAGTACGAGGACTCGACGTACCAGTGGCTGCCGGCGGAGTTCCACGTGGACGCCGACGGCCGCGTCACCATCGAGAGCTACATCAACAACCTTGACGAGTCGGTTCACGGCGACCTGTACCGGGCGCTGGAGCTGCTGTTCGAGATTTTCGTGCCGCTCTTCGAGAAGGTGCAGGTGGACGCCGAGGAGCTCGACCTGCGCGACCGGCGCCTGCAGGTCATCGTCAAGGCGGCCAACTACGTGGTGCAGCCCTTCGGCCACGTGTACGAGGGCTCCTGGCACGTGGAGGGCATGTCGCACGAGCACATCGTCGCCACGGGCATCTACTACTACTCCACGTCGGCGTGCCTCCGCGACGCGGGCTTAGAGTTCCGCCGCGAGCGCAACGAGGAGGAGGATTACCCCCAAGTCGACCAGTTCGACTGGAGCATGCAGGATCGCGACGACTTCCCCATCCTCGACGGGCTTACCATGACTATCCCCCTGGGGGCTGTGCCCACAGTCCCCGAGCGCCTGCTCGTCTTCCCCAATGGGCTTCAGCACAAAGTGTCGGGGCTTAAGAACGAGTCCCCCGACGAGGTCGGCGTTCGCAAGATTGTGGTCTTCTTCCTCGTGGACCCGGACTGCGAGATCATCTCGACGAAGCACGTCCGGCCGCAGCAGTGGGAGCCGCTGGTGCCGGGCCTCGTGAACACCATGAGCCTCGTGGTGAAGCGAGTCAGTGGCCGCAGCTTCCCGCTTCCCATCATTCAGGAGATCGTGTCCCGAGCCAAAATTGGGCTTACCGAGGAGGAAGCACGACGGCATCGACTGGAGCTCATGCGCGAGAGGAAGTACAAGATCGACCACGACAACGAGGAGTGGGAGCGAGAGTACTCGTTGTGCGAGCACTAGTCGATTAGAACTCCCAATCTCTGCCCCTGGTCGATGGACACTTGCCTTTCTCCCTCGCTCCAAACATGAGAATCGGAAATCGAGCAGGCAATTCCGTGTTGTACTTTAGGGTGATGCAGCCGCGCGAGGGCGGGCTCGCTGTGTGGATGGCGCAGGTGCTCGGATTGAAAGAAAGAAAGAAAGGCACATGGAGGTGAATTTCTCAGAGATCATGAAAGCATGATCTCTGAGAAAATTACATCTCAGACAGCTAGCGTAACAAGCGATCGAAATTCAACCCCCGTACTCCGGCTTCGTGTACCGCGGCCGAAGAGTCCCGAGTGATTACTTCGAGATCCATAGATCTGAGCCTCGCAAACTCCTGTCCACTCCAAACATTTTTCCATTCGAAATAATCTGTGTGGATCTCTTCTCTCTCTCTCTCTCTCAAGCTCTGTGATGAATGGTGTCTACTACCGAGAAACAGAGTTAGCATGATATGGCGGAACGAACGACTGATCGGATTCGAGTATTAACTCGATTCGCTCGAGCAGCCCGAAGAGTTCAGACCTGACTTCCTTGGATTTGAAGGTGAGGCCAGATTTTCGAGAATTGGTGTCAGGCTCAAAACTTATTCGTTCCAATTGTTGTGCACTCGAGTACTTCTTCGACCTTCGGAGCTCTTTCTGGCCTGTTAAGCTGCGGCAGAAGACGTGTCGAACGTCGTCCCCTGCAGCGAGTGCAGTGAGTGTCCAATCATCAGCTGTTGCGTTGTTCTTCCAGAATCCACAGAGCTGAGTTTCTTCGACCAAATCATTGAAGCCCTTCATGATCGTCCTAGCTTTAGATGTCAACCGTACGGTATGATGATACACACAAACGAACTCAGTACGTACTTACGACAAGCCATTGATCTCACACTATTGCACCACTCACGGTGTCAGAAATATGACAGTCGATTGAGCATGAACCGTCTCGCTCGTGTCAGAAAAGGTTTAACTGAAGAAGAAGAAGAACCCTCTCATTGCTGTCTCACTTTCAGTGATTAAGCAGCAAGCTTCATCGACGCAGCTAAAGGAAGACTGGTCAGGCAGTAAGGGGGCCAAGAGGGAGCCAGTCATTTCACGCCATCATTGAATCTGCCACAGCAATAAGTTGCTCTTCTTACTCATAACAAAGCCAACCTGTTAAATTTATTCCTCTACCTGGGACCAGACCTTAAACACGACCTCGGTCGTGAGTTATGATCTTGTGGTTCAAGCTTTCAGCACTGATCGTCACTGAGCGGGAACAAGCAAACCTCTCTGTAGCCATAGCTGCAATGGATTTGCAGAAGAAGCATTGCACTTGAAATGATAAGCGGAGAGACTGTTGGCATCGTTCCAGTCTGTGAAACTACAGATTTAATGGTCTAGTGCCACACTTAGTGGGGGACTTTGAAGCCCAAGCTGTCCCTGGTCCTGACTTCAACAATGGCCCAAGGAGGCATTCTTCTAGATAGGGACTCTTGAATTGGTACTCATAATCGTCCATGGGTATGCAAATATATCGTAGAAAACATCTCTTCATTTGTTGATTATGGCAAGCCACCTCATCCTTGAAAGTCTCAGTGGGTATTGCCATCATTTTCCTATCCACTTGGCACGCTTTCAAGTGTGAGAATTATTTCCTAGTTTCTGGGAGTCGATGTGCCAATTGTGCCCTGTTCAGAACTGCTCATCGGATTGGCATTCATTCACTTTGTCGTTTGCACTCTGTCTTGTGGATCAGAATGCTCGACGCAGAAGAGAGTACAGTACGGATGATTTTGGCCAGCGAAGTGGAATACGAAAGAGCGTCACGTTCTTCCGGCGGCTGAGCTCAGAAGCCATCGAAAGTGTAGAACAGAATGAAAGAAACAGAAGAATGGAGAGGACGGTCGATCAGATAGAATCCGAAATCTCCACAGCTAAACCTTTCGTCTGCCATTGCCATTGTCGAGAGAGAGAGAGAGAGAGAGAGAGAGAGAGACCTAAAGCAGGGCTTCGGGGGTGAAATTGTGATGAGAGCAGCAGAGTGCGAAGGACGAGCTAAGTTGGTGTGCGTTTGAGGGAGGAGGAGTTGTCGTCGAGAGGCATGGTGTATTGGGTGCGAGCTGCATCGAGGTTGAGAAGCGCGGCCCAGATCAGGCAGCAGGTCTCGATTCTGGCAAGCAGCACTGCGAGGATTGCGTCTCCTTCTTCGTGGAGGAAGTTGAGCGCATGCCGCGGTGAGCAGCGGCGGACGATGTCGATGTCGATGCCAATGCCCAGGGCTGCAATCGTGCGCAGCGTGCCGGGCACATTCGCCGACGCGCTGGCCATGGAGAAGCCCGCGGACCCGATCGACGTGCAGCTCGCGAAGCAGCAGCACCGCGAGTACGTGCAAGTGCTCGAGGGCTTGGGGCTGCAAGTGATCGAGCTCGCGGCGGACGATGCGTTCCCGGACTGCCCCTTCGTGGAGGACACGGCGGTGGTGCTAGGCTCGCGAGCCCTGATCACGCGCCCGGGGGCTGCATCGAGGCAGGGGGAGGAGGTGCCGGTGAAACAAGCCCTGGAGCGCTTGGGGCTGCAGACCTCGCAAGCCCAAGCCCCGGCGCAAATCGACGGCGGCGACGTGCTCTTCGCGGGGGGCATGCTCTTCGTGGGGCAGAGCGCGCGCACGAACGTTGAGGGCTTGCAAGCCCTGGCCTCGGCGTTTCCCGACGTGCGCGTGGTGCCTGTGCGGGTGCCTCGGAGCTTGCACCTCAAAACGGTCCTCTCGTGCGTCGCCTCGGATGTGCTTGCGGTCGAGGACAGCCCCGAGGCCCGAGCCATGTTCGCCAGCATTCAGCGCGAGGCCCCGTTTCTCAAGTCCATTGCCGTCTCCCCTGCCGGAGCTGCCAACACAGTGCTGCTCGGAGGAGGTACGGTGATCTATCCCAGTGGCTATGGCAGGTCCTTCGAGTCTGTCTACGAGCCGTATGCCGATCGTGTCATCCCGGTGAACATTTCGGAGTTTCACAAGGCCGATGGCGGGCTCACTTGCCTCTCAATCTTCGTTCCATGAGTACCTGAACCGTTCATGATTCCGTCGATCCTTTCCTCCATCTCCCCCTCGGCTGTCGGTCGATCCATTCATCTGTTCTGATTGGGTTGCCCCTCTCCTCGGCACCCATTAATGGCACTGTGAACTTACTCGAGCTTCATTCAGCCGAGGGAGAGTAGACGATGAGGATCCGACCTGCGTTTCTGGTTGACGGTAGAGCCTGACATTTCAAGCTCGGCAATTCGGAAGACCTTCGAAGCTGATGCGTTGAAGTTGCACATGGTCCAACTTCATTCAATGCACGAGTGAATTCGAGAGTGAGACACTGGTGAGACAATCCATGGAGGAACAACCTTGTGAGAAGTGGGAATGCTTGTACAGACACAGGCCGGTGGAATCAGGATCGAGAACTGAGTCTTAATTTATTAAAGCTGGCTTCATCTACTCTCGACTTTGCCTCTTCATGAGTCGATGATGATAAGGGTATTCCCTCCGTAATTCTTCGTCGCTGGGACGGTAGCATTCGTCGCTTACCCTCCTCAATCAGCATCGAGGAGGCTTAAGACAACGATGCTCGATTGTATGCAATACTAAAATTGTGAAGATCAGCAAGCCAAGCAGAATAGGCACAGAATTGTCGCCGCTCTGAGTGTGAGCTCTAGTGTGTCGAATCGATTTGATCGACACATCAACCGAGACTGGACAACTCTCTCATACTTAAGTCTTCAAAAGAAGTCAAAACACCTCCCGAGGCCACTGCCGATTTCTTGTCCAACAAGGTCAAACATCTACTGGGGCATTTCTCCCAGGGAGGGTCAGTCGCCTCAGACTCGGGACATGACAGGCTTGGTACTGCCTGATGGAAGCTTATCTGCCCGAAGCTGAAGATCATAATTGTCAAAAGTCTGAGTCTGCTTGTCCTGCTTGGGGAACTTACTGAGCCTGACTAGCGTTTCCAAAGCTTTTTCATTTCGTGGATGTGGCTGACCCTTCCTGATGCCTTGTCTTGGTTCAAAGACATCGTTCAACTAGTTCTCGTCGAAACACGATCCATAGAATCCTGCAGATCGGGTACATAGATGCAGTCGTCAGTATCTGCCTGTGGTAGTTTATGATCGTCAGACACTCTTTGAGAGATTTGAGTTCAATTCTAAGCTCTATTTCGAAAACTTTTAACGGATCCCATGAGGCTATAATTTTCTATGTTGAGCACTCGTCAGGTAGTCAGAGAGAATGTATGACCTTCCATGTTAATGCCAGCGAATGCGAGGCTCACCTCTGAGAGTGCATAGCGCTCCTTATTATAGGAGGCGAATTTGAGCCATTTTAGCTTTACACACCATTGTGCATCAAATTCAACGATCGTGTTCACCAATACCTCTGCTAGTCTGGCAACAGCTTTGTTTGGATCCTGATCGGAAAGCAACGTAGAAAATTGTGAATCTCTAGCACATCTATCAATATAATCTGAGCATTGAACCACTTTGAGGTGAAGTGCTTTAGAACCAGTGCATGTTTCTTTACAATATGATATGAACATTTTCCTGTAGGAGAAGGTCATCTCTAGAAAAGAAAAAGTACCCGTGAAAGCTCCAATATAGACACCACTGCCTGCAAGAACAATAGGCATCTGAAGTCATGAAGAATAACAAGGCCAGCACTGACTTCAAAATTCAGGACTCAAACTGCTTCATCAAAGAGAGCTGACGTGAGGGTGTGAAGTCACTACTGCATAGAATGAATGATAGTGTTCTGTTGACAAGGACGCTCTATCTGAATCGCTTGACTTTTACTTGAAAAGATAAAGGTCTCCGAGAAATGTGTCTCTCTGCCTGTGAGCGTGAGCGTGGAAGTTCAGGGTTTGCATGTGGGATCTGTACTCAGCGTAGAAGTTTGTAAGCACTCAATTAAGCAGACAGGCTGCCGAGGATAGATGGGAAGATTGGGTCGAATTGGTGGCCAGTTATTGTAAGTAGTTGGGGGATCAACAGAGGATGGTGCTGTTGTCAGAGCACGAAGAGTCATAAGAATGTACCTCAAGCGCAAGGAAGTTAATTATGTGGATCGTAAATTGAAAGGGAAATGCCTTTCATGGAAAAGTCCTTAAGTTGCTAATGCAGTCAAAATTTGTTGTAAATATCTGACGCCAAGATTTGAACTGAATTGCACGGATGCACGATCGAAAACATAACCTTGTATGAAGGTACCCATCCAAACTCGTCTGGAGGTAAGGACAGATAGGTATGGGAATAGCATGTAGCACGCTTGTGAACAGACTTGCTATAGTCCATAACGTACGAGAGGTATTTCCTTGCTGTGTCGGGAACTTGGCCTGGTATTACAGATGCACCATTCCCAAAATTTCTACCGAGATGGTACATATGTTTTCGTCAAGTGTCTTACCTTGTCACAAGCAACAACCTCTTTGCTGGTTGAAGCGTTCAACAAAAGCTGACCCAATGTCCATAGCAACTGCACACGGTGCCACTCCCTGCAATTAGAAAGAATCTCCTATCTAGAAGTTAATCACTCCATGGGGCAACAGATGCTCCAAGACTTGACAGTCTAGCCACTAGATAGGCAAGTTTACTGGTTTCGTTAATCTGATGTTCCCGCGGTCATCATTCCGAAACTTTCCATGTTACCCACATACATCCTAGCCAAGTTTCACTCGTTCCATTCGAGCAGAGCATCTCTTCACATAGCGGTCACTAGAGACAGCGAGAGAGTGGATAGAGTAGTGTGCAGCGCAAAAGAAACACCGTGTCTTTCTCACGAGAAATCAGTATGAGGGGGTTGGTCGGGAAAGTAATTTACTACATAAAACTTGATTATCTAGATGTTTCTAAGACTTTTCTATCTGTGTATTTTTTATGTTTATTCTTATGTCAGGAGCTACAAAGTTGATTGAGAGCACCTGAAGAACAATCTCGGAGTCTCTTTTTTTCTGAAGAAAATAAGTACACATCCTCCTCACCTGAAGTCAAGAAGTGTTTAGGAAGCGAAGAAATGAGGCGGTTTTAAATCTGGAAGTCTTCTAATAAAACTACCCTGCCGAATCAGATGGAGAACGAATATATTGAGTTTTACTGTCTTGATAGTGTTCAACTTACCAATCCCGAGTCCGCAATTTTGACCGCAATCCGATCAGAGCCGACAGCACCCACAAATACTACAATCTGATCACACCCTAAATGGGTTGGGGGCTTCAGTCCAAACACTAGCACATTTGCTGCAAATTGCTACACGAGTAAAAAAAAACCCGTAATGCATGCATGCACCTCGGATACGAACTCAAAGTACCTCTAGGAAGATTTCCTCCTCTTCCATCAAGCTGCTTTTCATTAGGAACTGAAGAAGATCTGTGTCTTCCACGAGCCGATAAAAAACATCACCCAAAGTCGCTACTTGATTGAAAATTTTCATTACCTCCACCTGCTCAACAGAGTGGGCAATGGTAGTTGAAGTGTGTATATTACTGCAGAACAATATCCTCTGATGATAAAACTCAGCAGATTCACTACCGCGCAGTTATCTAAGTGACAGTCATTCAAGTAAGGTTCGGGAAAGTCTTGGACAGCTTACTGGCCCCTAATGGTGATGATGCGAACCTGAAGGAAGGTACAAGAATCAGGTCTTTTGATAACGTCTATTAGAGCTGGTAAGAATCTGCATTCCGAAGGTAAGATTAATTTTGAAACTTGATATACCGCAGGGGCTTAAGGAAATTAAGGAAATATCTGAGATACAGCTGAGCAGGTGTATTTCGGGAACCATAGTCCCCGAAGTAGTCCCTGGTCCAATAAACGGCCACAAGATTCACAAATTTGGTCACCCGGCTAGCATCAGAGTAATGTTTGGTTGAGCATCCGCAATTTGTGGCAGAGTTTAAGAAGAAACGATGTGAGATTTAACCTTCCTAGTTCTGAGCCAGCGTAAATTAAGTGCTCCATTCAGTAGTATCGGTGTGCGTAAACAAACGTGAAGTTCAGGTGCTGTGATTTCTTCAAGGACTTTCTTCTGTACGACAGAGGCTGACCGTAGGAGTTGAGGCTTTGCTGTTTCAGATTTGCTGATGTTCTTGATGACCTGCAAGATGACGAGACAAAAATGTCAAGCATGGTATCTACAATTTTAGTTGCAGCTGTAGCTCGCATAAAAGTAACGCAAAGACTGAATGTGCCTCTCTTACTTGAGCTTTGATCGCACCTTGAAAAGAAGGGGGTTCCGGAACTGTATGGCACGTTGGAGGAACCTCTCTAGTCCCTGTGATCTGCAAATGATCTGAATCAGCATCTAGTCAGGCGAAATTCACCATTCTGACTTTCGACTCAAAAAGCAAGGTGAGATTTCAAGCAGATTGCAAAGCACATCGACTGAGGCTTCTCGTTAGAAATCAGATCACCTCACTGGTGTGAGGAAGGGTTGTGAGATTCACAGCAAGAGCCACCAGTTCTCCAGTTATGTTTTGCCTGGATTCAACAGTCATGGCCTGGCAGGCAAGAAAGTTTGGCAATACGACAAATGTAAGAATTTTGAGTATCGTGTTTACCAACTTGGAAAGGTTCTCGGACACGGGGAATTGATTGAACTTATCAATTATGTGCTCGAGTGTACCTGAAGGATCATAGGTCCAATATCTGTCTCCAGAAACGCCTTCCTTCCCTCGGCGTCTATTGAAAGATTATACAGCAAACCAAAGACCTGGAATAAATACCCTCTACCGATAAATTTGTTAGAAATAGGAAAGGATGACCAACGCAAGTAAATTGTAATCTCTAATTTTCTGCTAACAAGTAGACAGTTAGTTTGGCAGGTCGCATTTGGTATTTGAAGTATGAGGCTAGAAGAACCTTTCATACCAGATGTTCAAATTTCTTGTCCTTGAGAAGCATTTCCAATGCTTGAATAACTTTGCATTTAATCTGGTATGCCCACAAGTGAACTGATCAATCGACTAGGAGAATCTCAAACTCTGACGCTAACAATTACTTCTTATCAGTGTGAGATTCAAATGCGATTAAGAATACAGAGCCGGCTGCAAATATGAGGAGATAATCTCAAAAGCTCACCATATCCATTCGAAGCCCAGGATCGAACGACAGGTTCCAGAGGAGTCTTAATACAGCAAGGAGTAGTGACTGCAACACAACCATTGGGTGGATGTTAAACTTGTAATATCTATGTGCCTGATTGGACAACAATCTTTCCAATATGCAAACTCTCATCTTTGCGTAAGATATCAAGCTAACCAGCGAACAGTAGACCTCCAAAGAAAAAGCTGGGCCTTCAAAACTAGCTTCTAGTGACAAAATAAAGGCTTCTGCTTTGTGTCATTAGAAGCTTACTGACCTCGTGCTGACATGGGATGAGGACTGAGAGCCTATATATGATACCGTTTTCCTTCATAACGTCCATGTTCTGCTTGAAGATACTCAGCTTCTTGAGAAACGTCACAGTTCTGCGATCCCAAAAAACGAAAGTAAGATGATCCCTCCCGAAAGATCTGGCGATGAACAGCATACTACTTTTAGAGGCTACCGAAAATTCTATCGAAGAAGCTCAAGATATTATCTTATGCGGGTTTCCAATTTACTATTTTCCATAGATAGACAGACGGATAAATCATTGTCTCCATACTGATCATTCGGTCCGCGCATATGTAACCAAATTATGTACATAGGCAACGACGTTGAGTTGCGCCGTACATGATTAGAAGAGCGATGCTTTTCCTCACTAGAATTTTACACAAAAACTCCTGAAAAACACAACGGGCATAGACTGACGAGTTAGAGAAGATATTGCTCATGGCAAACGAACAGCCCTCATTTTATCCTTCAACGCTTGCTTGTGAACAATTCACAAGCAAGCTATGAAAGATAAGATGAGCGGTATTCGACAGTTGAAAGGTGGCCATTCTAGAGTTGAGAATGGACTAGCGAGGCCATTTGAAATGAGATTTGATATATTACGCCAGCGTCTGAATCGAGAACAGCGGACGACTCGCTCAGTTAGTGACTCACCACCAGATTGCATTTTTTCATTCTCTTCTCAACATTGAGGTCCTCTGCAATATTGAGCAGCAAGCTGATACACATGTAGAGTAACTTCTCCTGCTTAGTATTTTGGAACATGAGACTTATTTCTGATGCGGTGGTTGTATTCTCCGAGTTCAATCGGGCAGGGGTAGCTGCTGTCTCCTCCAGCTTTAGAAACAAAACACTACGTGAGAAATTCTGATTATGGAAAAAGGGCTCTTGAAATGAACTAGTTCGTTAAGTGGTGGAAGGAGACAATTTTCTGGGCAAGAAAATTAGACTGCTGTGTGGACAAGGGGGCATGTACTGGTAAGCTCACGGGCTCACAATTGTCCACAAGACGGACATATATCCAGTGCTAGTCAATCATAACTTCGTTTTAACGAACTCACCTGCATCCTAGTTTCCATGCATTGAACCTCCAGCACAAGAATGTTGAGAGTTGTTTTGCCGATTTTTTGCTCCAAAAGACACTGCCAGATTTAGCAAAAGAGATAATCAGCAACTAAGCAGGAACAAAGAACTAAGAAATGTTTGTTGTGCAATTTATTAAGAGAGTTATTTACTGTTGTGCTTATTTCCTTAACAACATTTTTACTCAACAACTCGACCCGGATCTCATTTGGTGAAGCCACATCAATCTAGGCCGAAGGTCAAAACTTGAATTTGTCAATAGAAATATTTGTCAGTCACAAAAAGCAGTGCTGAAATCCACGCATGCTCAACACCTGATGAAACTTCGGGAAAAATGACATCAAGAAGAAGATGGAAACGATGTTCAATCGGAGATTAAAGCTCTTCCGCCCTTCCTCCCTCAAAACCCTTGCGAGTGCACCCTACAATACGTGATCATTTAACGTCAGAGTAATCACTCTAGAGAGGCAGTTTCTCGTCAGTGAAAGGCAATTCCAAGAATGGAGCGAGCAAATTACAATTTCCAGAAGGGTATCCAAAGACAGCAGTGACTTCATACCAAGGCACTCGGGTGTTGTGCAATCGTGGCCAACCTTTCTGTCCGTCTTGCCATATTAAAAATGTAGTTTGTAGCTTTGATCTACACCACATGGTTCAGAACCAGCAGTTCGGAGTGAGCAGCAAATTACGAAACTTAGGCCTGCAGGAGTTTTGACTGCGAGCATGAACGATAATACAAAACACAAGCTCACCTTCTCTTCCATGCTCTCGTAGAGGCTTGCCAAGGATGTTTCCAAATTCCTGGCAGTGCTCCCACCACCACCACCCTCCCTCGAGAGCAAGAGCCATCGAAAAGTGTCTTCATATCTGAATGGCCCAAACTACACACAAGACAGACAACTTAGTTAGAACTGGAATGATACGCATCAGCTGTACATGATTATACTCCCCCATGCTCGTGCACAATCCGAACAGCCAATTTGGGATTCCCAATCCACCTTTCACAAAACCAATCGTGTCCCAAATCTCGGTTCTCTCCAGGTTTTTACTTCTGCAAACTGCAAATTCCTTTCACTGTTGGAGAAAAACCGCTGAAGGAAACACGTGACGGCAGTAAGAATTTAGTATATTAGTATGTCTGGAGTGAAAGTTCGAGTCATTTGATTGCAGGGTATGTGTTTTCCCACCCTTCATTCGCAAGATGAGCTCGTTGGTCCAGACGACATGTACTCATGTCTCCCATAGGATTTGCCGAAGGAACATTTTTTGTCGGTCGATGTGGCCGCTGTGTCAAGCGATTGATAAGTTCATGAGTGCAAATTCGCCTCTCATCGTAACTCGTCGCTGTTGCTTTCGCGCATGGCGAGCAGTAGGTTTCACGGAGGTCCTGGGTGAAGAGAATGACGTCGACCAAGACTTGTAGCAGCTACTTTCGGTTCTTGAAGTCACGGAGGGGGCGATGCCGTTGAGTTTTTCCTCGGGGATAGCATCGCGGGAGCAAAGAAGGTCCTGGCCAAGTTTTTCCAGAGTTCGGACGTTTTTTGTGGCAATGAAGAGTAACGAAAAAAGAGACAGATCCAGTGCAACGATCCTGTTTTCCTGGTGAAGGTTTATTCCGAGGAGAGGAGATCAGTAATCGGATTCAAGGAGAGGAAAAACGCTTAATCATAATCTGGAACGGCTGATTCATTCAATTGACGACTCGATTGGCTTGATAGCAAGGTTGTGATTTTTCTCGCCATCGTATGACGTAGACCAGTGATTCTCACTAGAGGCGGGAAGAAATATCTCCACTTTGATCATGATGCATAGAAGTAGAGAAACGGCAACTTCGCCCACGGCGATGTTCCGACTGGCAAAATATGGGTGAGATGACAGTAAACGAGGAAAATATCCATCGTCAAAGAGACGCGACATGGACAGACCTCAGAACTCCCTAAAGCCGGCAGCCTTCTGCCGGTAATCTAGAACCAAGACATGGAAGCCAGAAAACACGTCGCGACGTGCTCAAGGCTCTCGCGGGAATCGCCTTCGTCGTCTTCATTCAGTGCTTATGCCACGAACGAGCATCGACCGACTGCCTGCCAAGCGAGTCATTCGGTCCCACCATCATGTTCATTTCCCATCCACATACTGGATGACTCTCGAAGACAAGCCTCCTGTCCAGCTTTATCACGTCGTCCGTTCCCTATTCCGGGTTTGATGCTCGCATGGATCTTCAGTCTCGCTACCTTAAGCAGCAAACAATACCTACACGAGGTCTGCTGCGGGCAAATGGCCTGAAATTGCAGATCAGGGTTGGTGATTACTCGTCAGCCCAAGTTGCGGATGAAATTAGGTCTGATGTCCACCTTACAACTTTCCACTCACACTGTTGGTACTTGTGGTACACCAAAGATGGTGCCAACCGAGATGGTTGGGACGATTCCCACTCCGTGTCGTAGAGAGACATCTGCCTTTCTTCTAACGTAAATATGCCAAAATGCGAAGTAGCTTCTTGATCTCATTCTTGGCAATCCCTTCGGATCCGGCATTACGAACACTGTCAGGACTCACAAACTTTAGGTCGCACTTAGCAAGATATACAAGAAGATATTCAGAGAAAAAAAGTTCTCGAAAATGTAAATAGACTTAGAGGTGATTACAATCTCTACAGAAACTCATGGCTGAGCTCGCAGTCATGTGAGAGGTTGCTTCCGTCCAAAACATGACATATTGATTGGAGGAATCTAAATAAAGAGATATAACTGGCCTTCTTGTTATCCAGATATTACTGCCAAGATCTAACCCTTTGCCTGGGTGATTGCTATGATACACGTTTGGCATAGGTCAGTTCCAAATCTCTGGAATGATGACCTGTCCAGCAACCGACGGCATGAGGCCCAATGCCAAGCCTTGAAATAATCTAGTATGATTGCAGATTCGAAGGTTCCCGATATCATGCACAAGCATTTCGTGTGCTGTATATTGTTGCACTGACATCTATATGGACTTAATGACGGAACGGGTGTTCTAAATCCAGGCTTGCTTGACATGAGCTTATATTACACTCACTGCATTCATAAAGTCAGGATCTCAACCCCCTTCTCTGTAATGAGCAATGTATGCTCGAATTGAGCAGAAAGACTGCCATCTTCTGTCACAACCGTCCATCGATCATCCCACATTCGCCCCTTAATGGTACCAATGGTAAGCATGGGTTCTGTTGCAAAGTCTCCACGGAAGATATATCAGAGATATGGTCTATATGAGGGAAATTTAGTCTGATTCAACGCGGGAACATGCATGTGCTAGACAAAACAAAAAACATTTGACTAATCCTTTGTGAACTAGATTCAGAAGCAGACACTGGAAGCAGTGTACACAAACAGAGCTCTCGAGGTGGTATATTAGTAAGGCGAAACGATACCTATCGTGAATGTCTGATTTACTTCCATGCGACCAGGCTCGGAATTACCTGCACATAAGCATTACTTTAGACAATAAATATAACTTAGGTAGCAAAACACTTTGTGAGCCTGCACTATTTCCTCGCCATCAGACGAAAAGACACCACCTGCTAGGTTCAGAGTGTAGGACGACCCGACAATTCAAAGAATACAGAACGAGAGAACTTACGAAAATGGAGAATAGAAGGCCCTGAGTGAAAGATCTTCCCGACTCCATGACCAACAAACTGCCTAACTACACCATACTTGTACTTGTCCGCTATATCACTGCGACACCACAAATTAAAGAAAACTTTAAATGAAATGAAAGGACAAGGCGGTATGCCCAAGAATGTAACGACCTTGAAATGATGACCTACTTCACGACCAAGGGTCTAAGACTATATATCTTAGGAACGCATGCGACAGTTATCAGCAATGCAGCAACATCTTCACAACCTTCGTTCTCAAAGCTTGCTCTAGCTTGCAGAGATTGATGAATTCAAATAGGCATCTGTAATGGAAAGGGTTGTGAAGGACGACAGCAGAAACTTACTGGATTACTTTGCCTATTTTTCTGAATTCTACACCGGGACCACATATAGATATTGCCTTGTCGAGGGCTTCCCTCGTGACCTGTAAAAGCGAGCAGAACAGTATGGTAAGTAATACGAGGAAGCTTGATGGTAGACTTCAACTTGCAGCAGTGGGCAGATCCAGGAAACACTTGGCCAATATGAACGAGTAGCCATACTTCTACAAGCTGCCTTCCTTCTTCGCTGACGTTTCCACACAAGAAGGTTCTTGATGTATCTCCATGATAACCCTGAGTCCACATACCAAAAGAGATATCAGTCAGCTACATACTGGGGAAATAAGTCGATGTTCAGGCAAGTGACAAAGTCAGCAGTGGATGCCTTAGCTATCAGGATGACCTAGAGAAAACACAACAATGGATAAGTACAGTGGCTCACATTTAGGTACACTGTTACATCAATATTGATAATGTCACCATCCTGCGGCAGTGAGGAAAATCCACGATTAGTATGGCGCAGAAACGAAGTACTTGCTACTTTTAGCCCATGTATGATTGAATAATCAAGACAGAACAGATTTTTGCATATTTAACAAAAGTATGCTTCTTAGAGAAGGTAATAGAGGATAAAAAAGTGCACTTCATACCAAAAGAGCCCTTGAATCCGGAATGCCATGGCAAATACACTCATTGACAGAAGTGCACACGCTTTTCGGGAATGCACCGTAGCCAAGAGGTGAAGGGTAAGCTCCAGCCTCAATTATCATTTGATGCACTGCTTTGTCAATCTCATCGGTTGTGACTCCTGGCTGTGAATACAAATTGTCAAATTAAGCATATTTAGTCTGACACATCGATACTTGAGTTACCACAGCGTCACTTAAAATCAAGCAGGAGCATGACCAACGTATTTACTAGAGAACGGGGAATCTGAGAAGCAAAAGATGAGGGGTCTGAAACTCTAACCTTGACAAGAGTACCGGCATGGCTGAGTACAGCAGCTGCCAATTTGCCAGCTGCTTTCATCCCGACAATACCCTCAGCGTCCTGTATTTGGTAATCCTCGACAAAATCAGGTGCTTGAAGTGAATTGACATAGGGAGGCCTGAGAATATTTGCAGGAACATCTAGTCGAGGGGAAACTCGGCCACGCTGGAGTCTTGGCCGCTGAGATCCTTCTCCTTGCTGTTCATTTCTGAATCATACCAAGAAGCTGTCGGTGAGCAAGAGTGCACTTCAGCTCAACCATCAACAGATAATTCATCGACGCTTGTGCACAATACGAGTAACTTGCACAAAGAATCAGGAATTTTTTTTCCGAAAATCGCAGCGTACAGGGCAGACTTCACGACAGCATGAACGCAACTTACTTTCGGTTGAATAGAAGCTCCGCGAATCCAGATTTTTTCCTCGCGAAAATTACGAATCCCCCTTCTCTCTGGAACTTCTTCTCTTCCGCAACTGCGAGGTCGGAAACCGGAGCTCAAAAAGGGGTCAAAACACAAAATAAAAATTACAATTAAATATCTGCATAGACCATTCCCTGGCAAAACAGACACCCGTTCCGTTGCACAAAACAGCACCTCATCCATCAACCTCCATCGAACTAAAAATCCACGAGTCTTAGAATCCAAACAAAGCTCTCCGGCGCAGAAACTCGATTCGACTCTTCGAAAATTCAGTAAGAATCTCCCACCATAAACCACAGATATCACAACAATCAAAGAAATGAACGCAAGAAAAGGAGATTCTCAATTCTCACCGAATGCCAGTCGGAGAAGCGAAGGCTGAGACCAAAACGAGGACGAGAAGCTGTAGGCAGACTTGAAACTCGAGGCGGGGAGTGAGTGGCGAGCCACGCTCCCCCAAGTCGCAGTCGCAGCTCCCGCTAAGGTCGCCATGGCATCGCCGCTCGGACCCAACAACTGCGACGGCACCCGAATTCGATTCCTGGCAATGGCAGCTCGCCTCTCCGGCGTCTCTTGCGCTTCTGTGCCGCCTCAGTTCGGCAGGATAAGACAGCAGCCAACGGCGCCACCACGACGAATAATTCTCCGTCTCCACCGTCCGTCCATCCGTCCATCCATCCATCCATCCTTCCATCCTTCCATCCTTCCATCCGCCCCCACGCTCCACTCTGGTCCGTGTATAGACGTCCATTCCGGTGAGTAAATGGTCTGAAGCTTAACCCGCAACGATATTTTTCTTACCGGAGGGGAGATAAAGGGATCTGGAAAGTATTATTGCCGAATTAGAAATTCGCAATTGTAGCTTTCATTGGAGAGTTCAGCCAGTTCGTGGAAACTTAGCTGCAATTGTCAATGAGTTTACTTCCTCAATTTTCCTGAATGGCATCCGCATTGCTTGTCATCACGTTGTATGTGTAATGAATTAAATCCTTTGATTTCTAAACTGTAATAACATTTTGGAGATTATAATTAACTCAGTTTGAGTTGCCTGCATTTATGTTCATCCGAGTATAAATAGATGTCTGGAGGGTGAATTTTGTACGCGACGCAAGACTCGAAGTGCTACTCTTGGTCCGCTTGACCCCGAAGCAATGCCATCGCAAAGGGTACTCCGATTCATTACAACCCCGTACCTTCGAATTGCGACACGATATGTCTACAGCTTCGTACTCTTGCCGCTTCTCTGAAGTATTGTCCATTGTGCAAGACGCTTTTGCGGGATAAAATCATACGCATCCGATTCTCCCGAAGCAGCTCGAGAATTGCTGGAAAATATATATTTGTTCTATTTGCGAAATTTAAGCTCCCCTTCGTCTTTTGTAGAAGAGGTGTTGGGAGCCCAAATTGCGTTCTAGGACAAGAGGGTCGAATTTAAAGAATGTCTTCATCGACCGTATGTTCTATTGTCGTGGGAAAGAAACCTCCGCGTCGCATCGTTCGTGATTGAAAATCTAATCACGAATCAATATACAATCATTTATCAATTTATGACAGTACCTCCGATAATCGTTTTCCTCTAATAATTGATCCTTTCAAGATCCACAAATCATATGAAATTTGAGAAATATGACTGAAATGAAATCTAGAAGATGGACTTTGATAGGTTGCAAACTCGTCAATGGGTGGGCTGAATACCGAGCGAGAGCAAACTGCAGAACGGCCTCGCATGCTTTGAGATGAAAAGATTGTGGTGGATCATGTGAAGGGAGGAAGGGGGATGCATCCTTTTCGCTTTATTTCTCGGTGTTTCGCTCTCAATAGGAACCTTGCGTGGACGACATGGCAGGGGGGCGGTGATTGCGACTGCCGTCGAGTCAAGAGCCGAGAAGTCAACCTTTAATGCTCGCAATGGGAACTCGGACCGATATTGCGGCCTCGATGGCCGTCTTCACCTAAAAGCGAACGGGTTCGAGTGCGAGAGGCGAATGTGAACGCGGCGTGGGTGTCGTCTCGTGCTGCCCCGGACTGACAGCGAGCACTGCGACGGGGAGAAGGAGGTCCGAGGGGAAGAGCGAGCGAGCGAGCGAGCTACGCGCGCGGGCGATGCATTCGATTTGAATGTGGGAAGTACGGTAGAGTAGAGCAGAGCAGAGCTGCGGCAGCGATGGAGGACGAGGGGGGACTGAGTTTTGACTTCGAGGGGGGCCTCGATGCCGCCGCGGCCATCGCAGCCCCCTCTGCACCGCAGCAGGGGGGCAACGCCGCGCAGTCCAATTCGTCCGCGCAGATGAATTCTTCCGCCCCGATGGGCATGAACTCGGGCTCAGCTAAGGTGACGCCGGGGCGGAAGAATTATCGGCAGACGGTTTGTAGACATTGGCTGCGTGGCCTGTGCATGAAAGGAGACGCCTGCGGATTCCTTCATCAGTATGACAAGGCACGTATGCCGGTCTGCCGCTTTTTCGCTAAGTTTGGCGAGTGTCGTGAGCCCGACTGTATTTACAAACACACTAATGAAGACATCAAGGAGTGCAACATGTAAGTCTTGACAGTCTTCTCGTTCGGTTTTTCATGTCTCCGATCTTGCCGAGTTCATCTGGCTGCTGCAGGAATTTTTTGGACCTTAGGAAGGTATGAGATATTTCGTAGTGAAGCAAAGTCATGGGAGGTGGGTGGCTAGCGTATGTGCATGTGCACTTTGGATTTTGTTTGCAATCTTGGACTCGAAATCTGGCGATCCTAAAATTGTGTTGTCTATAATGACAGGTACAAGTTAGGGTTTTGCCCCAATGGTCCTGACTGCCGATATCGACACCAAAAAATGCCAGGACCTCCTCCATCCGTAGAACAAAATTTACAAAAAATTCAACACCGTGTTTATGCAATTAACGGGGGCGTGCACCATGGGAAGTATCCACCAGCTCGACAAGGCCAAAACGAAGGCCAAGGACAAGGGCAAAGTCAAGGTCAAGGAGATGGGCCTGCGTGGAGACCACCGTCTGGAGCTGCTCCTGTGCGCCCGATTGGACCAGCGGTGCTCCCTGAAGACTCACATAATGTCCAGCATTCCCGAGTGCAGCGTCCTGCCCCTCAACAGCAACCACCAGCCCTGCCACCACCATCTCCTCCTATTCTACCACACCCAATGGTGAATGGGACACTTAATCCACCCCCTTTCACATCTGCAGCAGTTCCTCTTCCTCACGGTTATTGCAGGTTGGTTCCCAGTCCTCTTCTTCCGCAACTGTGCTGGACCTAAGATGGCACATTTCATTCAGTCTTTCAGAGATTCTGTTGTATTGGAACGAGGGATATAAGTGCCTGGTAGAGAGTGTGCACTTGCGAAATTCTTGATCTTTCGGTGGTTTCTTTGTGCATTTGTATGCGACTTTCAGTAAGTTAAGTCTTGTCTTTTGCAGGTTTTTTATAGTCAAGAGCAGCAATAGAGAAAACTTAGAGCTCTCTGTCGAAAGGGGATTGTGGGCAACCCATCGAAATAACGAGTCTAAACTGAATGAGGCGTATGATAGTTGTGATCACGTGATTCTCATATTCTCAGTGAATGAGACTCGCCACTTTCAGGTTGGTTGCAGTCGCTTCATTTTTCTTTTTGCCCTACATTATTTTCTTTCGATGTTGGCACTGATCTAATTTTTTGGTTGAGGAAGGATTTACTTACTCAGTTTCAGGGATATGAGTATGACACGATTTCACGTCGGAACCTCGCCTTTTGTTAATATTGTCATTGGCCTCCTCTGCAGGGTTGTGCACGCATGATGTCGAAAATTGGCGGTGTAGCTGGAGGAGGCGGTTGGAAATATGCGCACGGAACTGCTCATTATGGTCGCAATTTCCGGTTAAAATGGTTGAAGGTGTGTCTAAGAAAGCAAGGGCAGAGACTGACTAGGCACTCTGAGATGCAGGAATATTGGTTTTACGTGCAAATGAGATTTGATCAGACTGGAAGTTGTCCGAGTCGTCTATCTACTGACCACCATCATGAAAGAAGTTTCAATTTTTTATTTTTTTCAATAGGTTCAAGTATTCCTCGCCTTGTCTGCCCTTAAACTCATATGTTCAATCGTGGTAACCGTACAGCTTTGTGAACTTTCCTTCAACAAGACGCGGCATTTGAGGAATCCTTTCAATGAGAATCTCCCCGTCAAGGTATGGTGAAATTGCTCCAGAGAGACGTAGGCAGGTTCATGGTTTTCTAGATTGAAGGCTTGATGACCGATGGAAGTAACTTGGAGTGTCTGTGATGGGGTGAACGTTAAGATCTTTTAAAGCCTTCCCTTATTGGCTAGGTCATACAACTCTCGCTCTGACATATCCGTGCAAATTTCAGATAAGTCGAGATTGTCAAGAATTGGAACCTGGTGTCGGCGAGCAGCTTGCGCAGCTACTATACATCGAGCCGGATAGTGACCTCATGGTAAGAACTTAGATTTCTTTGTTCCGTCCCTGCATATTGTTCGTCTACTAGGGTTTCTTCCAGGATTTTCTTTGTTCGCGAAATTTAATAGACTGCTGATGGCACTTTTCATGAGCGTAGGAGGCCGCGAAACAAGGAGAGGCCAAACGGGAAGAGGAGAAAGTGAGGGGTGGTCCTGCGGCCGGGCAAGATGTGGATGACACTGACATCATACCGTTCGAAGATAATGAGGATGATCAAGAGGACGATGATAGTGATGACGATGATGGCTCAAGCCAAACAGTCGCTGCAAATCCTGGTCGTGGCAGGGGGCCAATGGGTCCTGGACAAATGTGGAACCCATACGGCATGGGCAGGGGCGGCAGAGGTGGAATGGGAGGTGGTCCTGGTGGAAGAGGCATGGGTTTCCATCCTGACATGGGCGAAGGGTTTGGGATGGGCAACTTCGAGAGGTTTGGAATGGGTCCAGGTCCTGGGGACGGCTTCGGTATGGGTCCTGGGGACATGTTTGGAGGTCATCCTGGTGGACCTGGAAGGGGTTTTCCGCCCTTCCCTCACCCTGGAGCTGGATTTGGAGGTCCGGAATTTCCCAACATGGGTCCTGGCTCGGGTATGAATTTTGGTCCTATGGATGGTCCAGGGCCTGGAATGGTGTTCCATGGTAGACCGCCTCCTGGACCAAGTGGAATGTTTCCACCAAATGGGCCTGCCATGATGGGTCCTCCAGGAGCTCATGCCCCGGGAATGATGATGGGTGGAGGTGCAAGGCCACCACATTTTATGGGTGGACCCCCAGTTGGTCCGATGGGCGGTGGGCGTCCTCCTCGGCCTTTAGGAGCAGGATTTCGCCCTCCATTTGCTGGTGGAAGTGGCAGAGGAGGAAGGGGTTCGGGCGACCAGCAGAAGAGACGAAGGGCTGATCGGAATTCTGGTAATGATCGGTCAACTCCCGGTGAAGAAGGTAAAGCATCAGCTAAACTAAGAACAGGTTCTTCTGCCGAAGAAGGTGCTCAAGCTGATAGTGAGACTGATTTCCCCGGAGCCGGCCAAAGACACCAAGGTGAAGACGGTTCTGGATATGGGAGTGCAGCTTATACCGGGGACAACGAAGAGGATGAGAGCGAGAGCGAAGATGAAGCACCCCGGAGATCAAGACACGGAGAAGGAAAGAAGAGAAGGCGAGATTGGGATGGAGATGGCAACGGTGGTGGCAGCGAGCGATGGGAACAAGACGGAGAACAGGAGGGTCCGTGGGAGCCGCCTGCTCCTGTGTAGCCTTGTCGCTCGTGACCTTACAAACTTGTAGGTTATGTAAAGTGTGTTGTAGTTCGAGCTCCAGCCAGCTTAGTTTTGCGCCTCCTTCTATTTCTTGTTTCTCCTGAAGTACATCACTTTGGATGGGAGAAACTGTTGAACAGGACTACCTGCTTGGAGTTAGTAATCCCCAGACAGGTTAGGAACTGAGATTGTTGATGATGATTTCATTTTTGCCGCCAAATTCGTACATGTGATTGAGCGATAATGCCTCATTCAGTAGATTTGAGTCAATTGCTCTTCAATTAGCTTAAACTTATCTTAGATGGAGTTACCAATACTTTTACCTCATGTACACACAGCCAGTGCTCGCACTGGAGCTCTCCCTCAAATGGGGGCGGTTGACAACATCAATGTGAAGTAGCGTATGTGAAACTGATAATAGCAGTTTTCAACATCAAGCATGGAAGAAGGTAATTTACTGTCAGGCAATCCAGTCCTTTCGAAGTGGAACACACTAGCTGGGTACAGCAAGGGAAAGGACTTGTACTTTCAATGTGTACAGTCTAAATTGACTTCATTACTTAGCCGTCAGGATACTTGTATGTAGATGTAACGTATGCAAATAGGAGAGGTCAAGTCTGGGTCTCGGTCCTGGACAACAAAATTTTGTTCTTCTAGAAAACGTGTTGAAGAAGAGGGATGTATATTAAGGTCAAATAGAAATCACGGAATTTGTTACATGTCCGGAGCAGCTTGGACATAGAGAAGGTTTTAGGTACATGAATCTAGTTAGTGAAGATGTTTTTTGCGCATGGTCTCGGACCTTGTTGATACAAATCCTTCTATACGACGGTAGTTAGAGATAAAATTCGCTGAAGTTGTAAATGTTAGAAATGCTTGGTTATAGAAATGTTCGCAGTATCTTGCACAACAGCAGGATGCCATGATATATACTGCCACTGTAGACTTCACTGTCCCAGGGATAGGGAGAGAAATGACTAGGTTTGATACCATTATGTGCTGGAGTTGTATTTTTGCAAGACAATGAATGCAAGACCACGACGGCGATGAAGAGTACAGGACTTTTATAAGGACGAAATATGGTTCAGTACATGTGATGTGTACAGTCTCCAGTACTTGGACCTGTTCTCAGCATGAATCCTCAAACTGAACCTAGCTTGTCCCCCCTCCCGGACAAAGTGACTATCTCGAAAACACTAACTGCACGCGAAATCATACTAGTTCATCGCTGTCTGTCTGACTATTGGTGGGTTGTTGTTTACTTCTCTTTTCTTTTATTGGCAGCACGCAAGAGATTACAGGCCTTAGGGAGAAAACTCCAAACTATCTACTAATTCTATGAACCTAAATAGTGCTAGGGACTTGTAAGTCACCTCCCTCATGTGAAGCAGACGGTGAAGATGAGATACAGATTTGGGGCAAGATGGCTATGTCAACACGTCAAGACTAGGGCGAAGTTGGTATTGCGAATGTATTTACGGCTAATTGTAGTTGATGTCTCGTAGTCTTGCAAGTTACGAGTTCGTTCGTTTAATAGTGATGAGAGAGACTGCTGAGCTTGGAGATGTCAAATTAGATGGAGTAATAATCATGCGGAAAAAATGTCACGTTTGACATGCTCGAATTATAGCGTACGATCGAAGTTAAAGTCTACATGGCGACATCTCCAATGAAGTGAATAAATAAATATTTTGAAAACTTCTTGAATATTGTTATTTTAATTGAAAAGTATTATTATATCATTTTCTTTAAATAATATATGAATTATACCCAAAAGTGAGTAAAATAGAACTATCTAATATTACAGAAAGATACATTCTATCTATGTAACACATTGATGTGTAAAAATAGCTTCTTTCCAAAGTCATGATCGCACCATGAAGTTAATTTGTAAATCTGGATGTAATTCTTTACTATTGATGCTTTAATTTTAATGTTTATGCTGTCTCCGTATTCATTAAATCAGTTGCAAACAATAAAAACGGTTTGTGGTATCATCATTGTGGTTCCACGGCCCAAAAGGAACACGTTTGGAGGGAGGTCTCAGAAGTATACAAGAGGTAGCAAGGACGCATTGTCAGAGGAGATGCATATTTCAGTGGTTGGATAACAGCGACCAAAATAAAACAAATCCCAAATCAAATATTCATTTAAGTAGCCAATTATCATGATATTCAAAATTTTATAGCCTACATATCTTTAGTAATCCCAAAGACGGCTTAAGTATCAACGTTAATTGCACCCTCACTCCCATACCTTCCAACAAGAACCATTAACAATTAATAGAAGAACTAATTGTTTCAACCAAAAATCAAGAATTCTCCACGATTTTATGAATTTGTATCTTCACATATCCTAGTTATTTTCACTCTTAAAATAATTCCATCTGTTGAATAGAACCAACTTATCGTAAGTCAAGTACATTGCTTCATTCATCGTTGGAGTACAATTTAATAATCTTGTTGTTTGAGAATATTGCCTGCTTGAGTAAAACTTGAGTTTTATGTCTATTAAGTTCCCTGATTGTCATGTTGTTTGGGCGAACATTAAGATCTTCTTGCTTGAGAATATCATCGTACAACAATCAAACTTCAAATTAACTTTAGCTTTTTCCCATCCAAAATCTTTTTTCTCGCTGTGAATAAATCAAAGTTTTTAGTGTGGTACTTCACTTGAGCTTTATGATCCGATTTCTTCCGACCAAGATTTTTTGGACAAAGAATGTTATTAATATCCTACACAATTGTGATATTAATGATTGTTATTTCCTTACGTACTACCATTCTTTTCTTGCTATGAATCTCATGTTTTAACAAAAACATTCCCACGTTTCTATCAAAAATATATTGTTTATCATATCTTATCATCATCATATTGTTTAAAATTTTTGTTGTGCCTTGTTCTGATCACCTGCGTTTCCCTTAATTGCTAACTTTCATCTTATAAGGATCATCAAAATCTTCACATCAATGAAGCTCATTTTTCTCAAGATTCAAGAAATAAAATTAGTGACTTTACATGGTTTAAACAACAATATGTATTTTCACACAGTCTCTCTCGGCATTTCAACTTTGTACATCTTTTAAAGCGATCAGATTCATGTCCCTTACTTCCTTAATCTCTACCTCGTCATACTCTTTATCAATGGCAATGACGTTCGTGCTATGATACATCTAGTAGGAAAATATTATAGAAGTAAAAAGATATGACAACAGTCATCTTTTAGTAAGTTGCAATGGCAATGAAACTTAGCTAAAAACTGACAAACGATTTATTATCTCATTTAAGAAAGTTAACACGCAGATCAAACCAAAGGGATGAAAACGATGATAACTACCTAAAAGATGCCATACAACCTATTACTTTGCACATAAAACGTGATAAAAAGCATTTATTTCTTTAGATTATTTGCTCAAAGTGAAATAAATGCGAGATTATAAATGAACAATATGAGTTGCTTCTTGTCACCATCTAATCGTTGTAAAACATTTCTTTGACGGAGTATTTGTTGAGAATTATTTCTTGGACGGAATATTCTTCAACTAGATTCCAACAACAAAATAATTGCTGATTGGATTTCTATGATAAAATATTCTAACAAAAAAATCTGTAATGCTATTTAAATCCAAAAAATTGAATAACAAATGGTTGTCAACTTTGAACATTCAATAAGGATAGGGAGAACGTTGCAGTTTTTTTACTCTCTCGTACATAGACTTTACTTTAAGCTGCAAGCAAAAATCTAAAAATGAAAATGAACAAATAGTGATGGAAGATAGTCAAAAAAGTTGTCAACAAGTGAAAAAGACGATTTTTTCACACGGACTATACAAACGGCACAAGGAACAGTTTCAGGAGTTTGACATAATGACATGGCGACCACAAAGTCTGGAAACATTTTACAACATAGTCAAATATAACAGACGTGTTGACTTTTTACTTTTGAAGAGACAAGCTGAAGGTCATGTATCTCGTCAAAACATTAAGGTCAAAACCATTCACCTACAATCATCCATCTACAACAACGAGGACTAGAGAGACATCCAAAAACAAGTTGTGAGTATTATCATATTTCATTTGCACCTTTGCATCTAAAGCAAGTGGATGAGTACAATAAATTTATTCTTTTGTTTGAGCTTCTTGAGCAACGTTTTTATCACAAAAAGCTGTCACAAAAAACATCTTTCAATTTAATGCTTATTAGCTTTAAGACGAAAGATTTTGAAATAAAGATTCAAGATCACATCAATGTATTTGATGATCTTGTGATTGATCTACAGAATCTTGAAGAGAAAATTACTCATGAGAGAAAAACTCCTCATCTTCTGAACTCACCACCTACATATTATCACAATCTTTGCGCTTAAGGCTATGATAAACAAACAATCATTTACAACGAGGTTGTAAGGGCTTTGTTGACTGATGTCTTACAACAAAACATGATGTTATCATCTAATCCATACTCTTCGTTGAGTATAACACTTTATGTATTTTAAGGTTGGTCATATTCACATAATGACAAGGATGATAATCGTTTGGATTTAAAAATAGATGTAGTTTTAAAAATAAATTTTTAAAGAATAATACGGTAGTTCATTTGAAATATGACAAGAATGACCATGTCAAGAAGTATTGTTGTGTGAAAATCAAAGTTGTTAATATTCTCTTAACTAATATGGATCAAGAGTTTGACCCTTAGAAGTATGACTTATTTAAAACTAGACTAGGATGAAAGAGATATGACCTATGCACATCATCAAAGATTGTTGATGATGTATGGATTCTATAAAAAGTTTATTTCTATCATATATTTTACATTAGAAAATTATTTTGTATTTTTTAGTATCAAATGAATAAATTTTCATGTGCGCTGATCAATCTTGTAAGATTGAGAATACACCCTAAACTTGATAATGTCACACTTTTTAATAGAACACCTCAATATTGTCACCTAAAAGTTTGATACTGATTTTCCTAGTGTAAAACTCCCTCTTTATTATCACTATCACCCTGGATAATGTCACATTTTTTTTCCAAAATCTTTGGTGTAAATGTGATAATTTCAAGTATTGATGGATTGTATAGTAGCAAAAAGTTCAATCTTTAGTGTAAGTGTGATAATATCAAGTATGGATGGATTCTATAGTATCAAAAGGGTCATGAACCGCCCCTGTGATAAATAAAATGCTATTATGAGTGCCGTGAGTCGCCCCCTTGCATCAACCTTTGATCTTACACACACGGCACTTGCATCAATCGACAATGTTCAAACCTGCAGTTGGAGCAACAAGAGGTGAACATGCCCATCCAGCATCCGAAGCACTCTTCCCAATGCCGCCCTGTGCATCAGTGATTCAAGTACAGTAATGATGAAAACTTCGTTGGCTCTGCTGAGGGAAAGAAATTGCTGACATTGGATATGAAATTTTGGCCTGCATACCTAATTCAAGATGGACGTATGGAGGGGGCTGGAAGGCTAAAAAGGTCCCTACAGTTTTTCTTCCTTATTCTCCCGATATTATCTACCTCAGGTACAGATTTTCCTTTTGTTTCCTTCCGCCTTGCTTTTTCCCTTTCCGTCTCTTCTCCCAGGATGCAAAGACGTGCTTGATTCTAACTTTTTTTTGTTATTTTCCTGGTTGCATCTACTGTACCGTGGTGGTTGATTTTGTTATTCATTCTTTTTTGGGCTTCGACGTTCTCTTAACATGTACACCGTTTTTCCTGAAACTTTCACTTTTTTATGATTCATTGTTTCGGTGCTTTTATGCCCTTGGTTACTCATACGTGTGGTATTTCTGGTGTTAGTATTGGCTACTCCTTGAAATCTCTTTATACATGTATTGCGGTCTGCATGCTTAATCTTACAAACTAGCTTTTCGATGCTAGTATAAGCCTACATAATTATCACTGTATGTTGACTCCTTTTTCGTTTAAGGCTTCTTGTTATGGTCACAACGGTTTCTGACTTCTTCTTCATTGAATGTTTGTTTGTTTCTTCCTTGCATGATATGCTCTTGTGGTTGAAATTGTGATGTCAAGCTAATTCCTCACTTCCAGTTGGTTATACAG